AACAATCTAATAATATTTCATATGATCAGTTCTGCCAAGCCATTTGCTTAAAAATTTGAGTCAAAAATGTTTGCCCAAATTTACAGGCGTTTAATGAGATTTTGATAGTTCGTGTATAGCGCTGCTCTTTTCTAAATACTTAGCTCCGCATTACGTCGTGTAGCTGGATTTATTTATTTTTTAATTATATAAACTGTGTTTTCTGTTTTAGGTCCTATAGATTTTACACTATATCGTGGACTTTTTAATTACATATGCAGCAATAATGGCGTCCTTGTAAAAAATTTGGTTAAACATAGAAAAAGTAAAGCAGCAGCAAGAACATTACATGAGTATATGTCGTTACCTGCAGCGGAACGTGATTAGCTTGTCGAAAATTACAAGAAGGCAAAATAGATAATTTTTTATTGTCTAATAATAATAACATGTTAATAATGATAAAAAACGTTTAAAAAAAACAATAAGTCAAAACGATGTCAACAAAATTACTATTATTTCAAATAAACACCAATTATTCACAATAACTTGTGTATTGTTAATTGTATCTATAAGAAAAAATGAAAAATGAATATAAATTTTTTGGTAATTCGAAAAGTAGCATATATGAGCAACTCTTCAATATAGGATAAATGATTTCACATAAAAATGCAAAGAAGAATAAAATATCCTTTTTCATATCTTTTTGTTAATTGTCTAGTATAGTCTGTACTTGAAACTCATTAGCATTGATAAACTACAATGATAAGGTTTAGGCATAGATGTTTTATTTACACATGTTATGAGGTGTATGTTAGAAATAAGATGCCAACGTTTTAAATCGAAAATATTTTCGATACACATACGATTTCGGCACTTGTGCACATAAACGTTTGTGAACATTTTTTTTTCTGTTTCATCGATAAATATTCATAAATCAAGTATTTAATTTTCATCGGGACAATAAAGACAAAACAATATGTAAAAATTTCAATGTCCACATCTTAGTATTACTTTTCATGTTAAAAAAAATTTGAAGTTTATAGAAAATCATCAAAAGTTGACACTTTTCTTGAATTGGATATACCTACTACTTAAATAAGATTTGCGCACATAAATATTGTATACGTGTATTAATTACGGATATTGACAGATATTCATTAAGCTAAAAGCCATTACAATAGGATCAACATTTTGTCAGGAAATAAAATAAAATAATAAAAATAATGTGCGCGTGTGTTGTTTAAACATGAAAAAAAATTTGATCTTTTAAATGAATAAATAAAGTTGTTTATATAAAAAAAATATTATCAAACACAATAAGTCAAACATTTTTTTTTAACACGGATTAGTTTTTGGGTTGGGAGTCATTCTGAAATTGGTGTTAAGATTTTGTGTAATGGACATAAAGATGTTATAGACATAAAGACCGTCATCGACATAAAGATCGAGATTAATTATTGAACTATAAGTATCGGTACAGGGTTCTAGAACATACACGAATTCATTTTCACCGCCACCATATAATGCGCTGACATTTTCGCAGTTGCTAGGACCCTGGTACAAACATTGTGTTGTGCTGCTTGGTTTATGCTTAGACCCTAGTACTTTTTCTTAACATAATAACATTCTAAGCTGTTCTGACGGTATGCGTCTCATATAAATTATCATCCGCTACTGGGCAATGCATAGTAAACTTAACATAGGACCCTGGTACTTTGGAAGTGCGACAGTGTCGGCCGTCATTTTGCAATGTACTTCATACAAATAAAGTCGTTATGGCTACACGGACCCGTAATGCTAAAACATTTCCACGATTCAATGTTTTTCCGTGGAGCGGAGAAAATAACTAGATTTTTTTTTGTGTAAATAATTATTTGAGCACAGATCAACATTTGTTGAATAAATTAACCATAACTAAAATATAATAGCGACGGTTCTACACACAAATATATGCGATTGTAAACCACCGTTTTAGAATTATTAATAATTGTGTAAAGTATAATAATTTCCATAATAACATATTAATCTGTACTGTGCTGTTACTTGTTGAATGTAAAGTATATATAGTGGAAAAAGTGATAACTAGATTAAAGATCATAGAACTGTAATATTAATTAACGATAAATAGTATGTATTATCACCAAAGCAGTTTTTTTTTCGCTTACTTGTACCACAGTTGATGATTTTTTTCGGTTAAATAGCCATTCGTTATCTAAATTATGTTGGTTTGTCTACCTACCCTTTCGGTATGTTGGATTAGGTAGGTAATTTCTGTAGATAAGAACCGTTTGCCTATCATTATTTTAAAATCGTTTATAGTGACTTATAATATAATAAATATACTGGAGAACGAGATGGATGTGTAGACTAACAAGATTAGATAAATAATAAATAATTGTATAGGAAGATTTTTTTAAGCGAGATTATTCCAATTTTAACCATGTAAAAGTATACCACTAATGATACCTATTAGGATAATGTACATACTAATGTATAAAGTAGATAATTGTTATTCTTCTACACATTATAAAACTTTTACTTATTGCAAATTCTTGCTGTTTGCATTAATATGTCAAGTCAGCCAATAAATGAAGTCGAGAAGCATTGCAACCTGACTCCTTTAAAGTCCAGGCGAGAATATTTTGATGTTCTGTTCTTCTTTAAACTGGTAAATGGTATGATTGACTGCCCGAAGTTGCTGTCTAAAATTGGGTAAGAATTTTTAAAATTTTAATTATTCTTGTTGGTGTATTGATATTATTAAAAAACTTTTCAGGCCTTACGAAATTTATTCGATGATTGTAGAGAATGGCTGGGCGTACCTCTAAATGCTAATATTGGATTGAGCGGGTTTTGTTGGTACATGGGATTAAACAAAAACAGTACAGTATTAGATGATTACTTCAAAAACAATCAACATGCCCGTGAGAGAATGGAAGATAATTATCGGAATAATCCTAATTTAACTGAAGGTAAATATTATCAATATTTGATTTATCATTTAATAATATTCTTCAATCTCTTCGATGGAAAACTGTGTAGCAGTTAGTTTAAAGGGAGTAGTCTTAATAGAGTTTATAAACATCAAAAAGTATACCTTTTACTATTTATTCCTTAACACACAAAAAAAAGTCAACAAATTAAAAAAATTAATTGTAAACATTTTTAATAAAAACCTCTTCATTTTTTTATTCTTTTTATCTTTTTCGTTGTTTAAATGAGTATAAATAACAATTAACAAAATATGCTAAATGCACAAAAACCATAAAATCTTAGACAGTCTACCATCATCAAATAAAATGTATCGTGTCCCCACTCTAATATTTTTACCATGGTAATCCATCTAGGAGTTGAATTAGTAGTGAAACTTTCGTTTTACGTAGCTCCGTGCTACTATCGTGTCACTGGATTTATTTATTTTAAATTATACAATTTCAATTTTTGTTTTAGGTCCTATAGATTTTACAATATATTGTGGACTTTTTAAACACATATGCAGCAAAAATGGCGATTCTGTAGAAGATTTGGCAGAACATAGAAAAAGTAAAGCAGCAGCATGGACAGTACATGAGTATTTGTCGCTAACTTAAAAAAATAAAGGTTAAAAGATGGTAAAAAAGATAATTTTTCTTAGTCTAATAACAACATGTTAATAATGTTAAAAAATATTATAATAGTATGTCAAATTAAATTTTATGTTAACAAAATCACTATTTTTCAAATAAACACCGATTAATAAAAATGTATATATTGTTAATTTTATATATAAGTAAATGAATAAAAATGTATTTATAATTTGAAAAGGAAAAATGTACGCAACTATTCAATAAAGCATTAATAAGTTCACATAACAATGCGAAGAAAAATAAAATATCGTTTTCATATATTTTCGTCAATTGTCTAGTCAAGTTTATACTTGACTCTCAGTAGCATTACAGTTAGTGAGTTAAGGACCATCCCGTCAGCTGTTATACTATCTTTAAGATAAACTACACTGATGAGGTTTAGGTATCGATGGTTTTTTTTTGCACAATTTATATGGTGTATGTTTGACCTATCTTCATACTAATTTTCATCTCTTAATTTCAAAAATGGTTGTCAAAATTTGGGTTTTTCTATTTGGAATTTTGTTGATATATTATATTAAAGATGCTAACGTTATAAATCGAAAATATTTTCGAAAAACATACAATGTTAGTTCTTGTTTTTCTGTGCCATCGATAAATATTCATAAGTCAAGTATCAGTTGAGTATTTTTATAAAAGAAAATATTACACTTCATTTTCAACCAAATCCCGAGTACATTAGACAAACAATGACTAGGTGTGTTTCGTAATATTTTGCACTCATTGTCTTTTAAGAGTTTAAAATTTGAATAGCCTACGTGTTACAGTAAATATTTAAAATTAATCTATAATTTTTAAATTGAAAAAATTCTTTTAATATATAAACAAAAAAAAAATGAAGCGGCGTATAGTAATGTAAAAAATGTGGCAGGTTTTCGGGAAAATTTATGAATAAAACATACATTTTTAATAAATAAGTGTTTTAATGAGAATTTAAAGAAGATAACAATATATAGGTTGTCGTATGAGGGTATTTCGTTAATCTCCTGTATTATTAAATTAGGATTTTCAAATTCTATGCTTAATTAATTAGTTAATACTCATACATAAGAAATGTTGAATTATTTGAAATAACAAAAATTCAATGGTAAAAATGTAAAAAAAATCATATTAGCCGTTCTTAATTGTATGTACTCTAAAAATATTAACGGCCGGTGTCCAGTAAATAAGTACTTTTGTTTGTATTCTAACGAAGCCCAGTTTTGGTAATCCCTTATACATTTTCTAACTACTTTTCTGTGCGTTTAAGACACCGTTATGTTTGTATGATTTATGTACTGTGAATATACTTATGTAGGTAGTTGTTTGAATACGTATGCAAACCTGTCATTTAAATAATAATATCACATCTACAAAAAAATAAATGCGATATTTGATGTACGTATATTTTTTTCCATCAGTTCTCAGTAAAAAAGGCATTCGAAATCATTCGTTTCGTTTTACAGATTGACTGCAGTTTAGAGTTTACAATATCATACAATGCTCTTTAAAATCTCTATTTTATTACTATCTATTAACTTAACTGTTAATACTGTGTCAGGCCAAACTGAAGATGAAGTAACTTTATATTATTTTATGATATTCTTTTAAAACTATTTGAAATAATATTATATTTAAATAATTAAGAAATAATTATTCCAATAAAAAATTATTCGAATCATTTTTAAAAATATTATTTAAATAGTTGTATGTTCTTTTTTAAGTAATTATATTTATACATTTTATTTCCTATAAATCTAATAATATATTCTACGTTTAGAAAATATATAAAACCAGTGAATATATAGGAAGACAAATTTGTTTTCAAAAAAATTGTTAAATGATAATTCGAATAACGTTTCTTTAACTCTATATTATACAGGTTACAGCTTTATTATACAGTTATTGTTGTTCAGAAAACTATTATTGTTTATTTATAAAAATTTACATTAAAAATGTTTGGCTTACAAATTTATAATTAAAATAAGATGTATATATGGGGCATTTTGAGTCAAACCACGTGTTCTTCGGCCTGACCACCTCAAATTTTGATCACTATTTTTGCCCAAAAAATAGTGGTTTTTGAAAAAAAAAATTTAATTTCGGTTTTCTTATAAAAAAAAAAAAAAAAAACATTTGTTGGTAAATTTTGATTTTTTACTCCCAAAATTTAAAAAAAAATCAAAATTTACCAGTACTTGTTTTTTTTTTATTATTCTTTTTTTAAATAGGAAAACTGGAATTAAACATTTTTTTTTCAAATTTTGAATTTTTTATTAAAAAAAAAATAGAAATAAATCTTGGCCCGGTCCCGTTATTAAACAAAAAGATTTGATTTATGTAACTGATTTTATGATAAAAATTTCAGAAATGTAAAACGAGTCTAATTCGATTTTTTTTTTAAATAACTTAAAACCTCTATTTTTGGGACAAAAATTATATATTAGACCATAACAAAGTTTAAAAAAAAAATATATTTGTTGCATAATTCAATATCATATAATGAAGTTTATTCGAATTAACATAATACATTTCAGATTCTCAGAGATTTGTACGAAAATTGCAGAATGTGGTCAAATACACCTCCGGGTGAAAACATTTCACAGCTTCACTTTTTATACTATATAGGAAAAAGCACACGCGACTTTGCTAGATTAATAACGTACATCCCTACAGACGGCAATAGGGCATTTCCAGGTAAACTTTATCTATTTTTTATTTATTATTTGACCATCCATTGATTTATAGCAAATCATTTATTTGAAAGTGATATTTTAATTTTAGTTATGATATCTTCTATAGACCTGTGACCTCCCCCAATTCTATACCAACGATTAACTTTTGGTACTATATGGCTAAAAACCAAAGCGACTAGGTTAGACTAGTAAAGTACAGCACTGACAATAAAATAGTTCAAGGTAAACATTAACTATTTTTTTTATTATAACGTTTGTAAATCATAACATAGCGCCCTCTAGCTGTGTTCTATACTTTTCTTATCTGTGTCGATTGTGTGTTATTACTTATTATCATTTATGGAATATTCATTAGTCATTGTTATTTGTTATATAATGTTATATTGTTACTCATTATTTTATATGTGCAGTCCCTTAAACGTTTACTTGTAATTTAATTATTCTTTCAGGTAACTATTGTATTTATTTATATTTTGAATTGTAATGTTTATTTATGTTGTAAATTGAATTCTTTCAGAATAATAAAATCTTGTTAAAATCACTTTACACGTTTTTATGAACTCACAATCTTGTTAGTCGTTCCGGATGGAATCTTGCAACTCAAATTTCTAGCACTTCCCGATTAGCTATCCGGCTGAAACTTTCAGGGTAGCTCACAATTCGATGACAATGCATTATTATTCCACACAAGACGTTAAAAATTTCACCCCTAAGGGGGTTAAAATGGGGTCGATTTCTTGTCCGTCGTTCCGGGTGGAATCTTGCAATTCAAAGACTTATGTCTCACCCGCCAGCAAAAATTATGCGTGGTGCGTTTGGGCGTGAACGATGCTCAGATATGAGCGGTACCAGGTTCAAACCCGTTCCCATCATTACACTTTTTTGCATTTTCTTACAACTTTTATGATAATTTATATAGTAATTACAACTTAATTTCAACTTATATGATAATTTATACAGTAATAAATCTAAAATTTTAAGCTTTTAAATTGATTACTAATTCTTATGATAATCCTTCTGACCATGCAGCCTTTTCTAATGTAATCACCGCTTACAGACGAAATGGACGGATTTTATTACATAATATTGTAATAATATTATTTATATGTAAAATATCTGTATATAAATATATGTATAATAATATGCATATTCATTATATAACATTGTACATTTAAATATATAGATACCTACATACGAAAACAAAAAAGAACAAAATAACTAAAGTAGATTAAAAAATTAATCTAAAAATAACGTTTTTAAGCGCCTTGAAAAGTATAAAATAACCCTCCGAGCGTCTTGATAACCAAATAGGACAGGTGAACTAGAAAAACGTGGGGCGCATCTTTCTACTTAGATATTAAAACCTAAGCTTTCATGCTAATGCATTAAGTTGTCTCTAATAATGCTGTCTCTATAACCGAATGGATCAGAAAATGATAGTATGACTTTTTATCGGAAATGAAATTTAATGGATTTCCGTGCCACTTGCCTTAAATTTCATTGCAAATTGAAAAGACTCAATTGCTATTCTCTCCAAAGTTTGTTTTATGTAGGTTGCTTCAATTTTTTTGTTAACTACCTACTTGCTTAACATTTAAAGTAATGTGGTGCTCAATTTTATATGACATGTCATTAAGTATTACTTTATTTAGAAGAGAAAAGATGATTGTGCATGAACTATGAGTTAAGGTAGTTATTAATGGGAAGATAATGTTATTATATATTCAGACGTGTGAAGTAGTAAAGATGCGCCCCACATTTTTCTAGTTCACCTGTCCTATTTGGTTATCAAGACGCTCGGAGGGTTATTTTATACTTTTTAAGGCGCATAAAAACGTTATTTTTAGATAAATTTTTTAATCTACTTTAGTTATTATTTATTATTTTACTGTACTTAGTTTAAACTGTGCTATATTCTTACTATCTGAAGATTCATAGAAAATTAATTACTTAAAAGTAATATTTCACTTTAAGTTATGATAAATCCTATAGATCGATGACCTCCCCCAATCCTACTGTACTGGCATTTTGGTTTTTATTTTATGAACATTGTTTTTAAAAATCAAAATTTATGTTCTTAAATTTATATCTTTTAATTGTTTGTGTTGCTGTTTACTCGACCAAAAAATCTCAAGTAAAAAAAAGATATATATAATAGTAAGTAAACAAAAATGTATAACACGTACATTGTACATGCTCAATATATGTGTCCATAAAAATATTGACATTCTATAACAACGATTCGCTATCATATTATATATATATATATTATATATATATATTCATTTTTTTTTAAATCAAAAATTTTGTTTCTTTTCTTTTTGTTATAGATCTAGATTTAGAACAATTTACTATACTTTTTAAACAAATATGTAGCGAACGTGGTGTTTTTGTAAAAGACTGGGCAGCATCTAGGAAATTTTTAGCGTCATCAAGGACAATACAAGAAGTTGCACATTCACAACCAGAACATACTGATAACGAAGATGAAGAAAAAGTAATTTTTTAGACTATTCTTATAAATTGTAATAAATGATTGATAATTTAACTAACATTTCTGCTAACAACGGTTAAATTCGTCATGAATATAAAATAAATTATTGGTTAATAAAAAGTTTAGAAATTATTCAAAATTAGTCACTAATAATACTTAAATAACCTATGAGTGATTAATCTTTTATCGGTAAGAAGTTTTAAAATTTTAATTATTCTTGTTGGTATATTAATATTATTAAAAAACTTTTCAGGCTCTAAAAGATTCGTTCGATGATTGTAGAAAATGGCTGTCCAGAGGTTCGTCCGAACCTCTAGATACAAATATTGATTTAAGTGGGTTTTGTTGGTACATGGGAATAAATGATAATACAGTATTAAATGATTACTTCAAAAACAATCAACATGCCCGTGAGAGAATGGAATATAATTATCGGAATAATCTTAATTTAAATCAAGGTAAATATTATCAATATTTAATAATATTCTTTAATCTCTTCGTTGCAAAACTGGTAACAGTTAGTTAAAAGGGAGTAGTCTCAATAGAGTTTATAAACATCAAAAATTATATTTGTTGCAATTTATTCCTTAACACACAAAAAAAGTCAACAAACTAAAAAAAATAAATCGTAAAAAAATATTGTATATTGTATTAAGATTAACATAAAAAAGTGTCCAATCAAATATTTTTTTATTCTTTTTACCTATTTCGATGTTTGAACGAGTATAAGTAACAATTAACAAAATATGCTAAATGCACAAAAACCCATACAAATTCAGACAGTCTAGCATAGTTCTTATAGCTAAAATTTCTAACAGACACACCCATCACCAAATAAGCCGTAGCGTGTCCCAACTCCAATATTTTTATCATGGTGCACCATCTAAGAGCTGAACTAGTAGTGAAACTTTCGTACTAGGTGGTTCCATGCTACTATTGTGTCGCTCGATTTATTTATTTTTTAATTATATAGTTTGGATTTTTTGTTTTAGGTCCTATAGATTTTACACTGTATTGTGGAGTTTTTAGACACATATGCAGCATTAATGGCGATTCTCTAGAAGATTTGATAGCGCGTAGAAAAAATGAAGCAGCAGCAAGGACAGTACATGAGTATATTATGTCGTTATCTCCTGAGGAACGTGATTAGCTTGTCAAAAATGAAGGATACAAGAAGGCAAAATAAATAATTTTTCATAATCTAATAACAATATGTTAATAATGTTAAAAAATATTATAATTCTTATAATAATTTGTCAAATTGAATTTTATGTTAACAATATTTTTTCAAATAAACACCGATTATTTACAATTCTTTTGTATTGTTAATTTTATCTATAAGTAAAAAAATGAAAAATGATTATAATCTTATTGGTTGTGCAAAATGGAACGAATTTGAGTATAGCTGAGTGTAACTCTTCAGTATAGCATTATAAAGTTCACATAAAAAACGTAGAAAAATGAAATATTGTTTTCATATATTTTTGTTAATTGTCTAGTCTAGTCCATACTTGACTCTCAATGGCATTACAGTTAGTGAGGTAAGGCTCATCCCGTCAGCTGTTATACTATCGTTAAGATAAACTACACTTATAAGGTTAAGTTATCGTTGTTGTTTTTTTGCACAACTTATACGGTGTATGTTTGACCTATCTTCAGACTAATTTTTAGCTCTTAGATTGTAAAAAACGCTTTTAATTTCTCTCCTGCGGAGGCCGGGTGGTGGGTTGTTCAAATTTGAGGGTTTCCATATGAAATTTGGCGATAAAATTTTTTACATTAAAGATGCTAACATTAAAAATCAAAAATATTTTCGAAAAACTTACAATTTCGGCACTTGTGCACATAAATATCAATATATATTTTTGTTTTGTACCATCGATAAATATTCGTAAGTCAAGCATTACATTTTTATCGGAAAAATAACGACAAAATAATATGTAAAATTGTCAGTAGTGGAATTTATATTTTTTATTTAAGCACATCTTATATTAGTATAAAATTTTATCGAAGGTTATAGCAAATCGTTAAACTTGAAAATTTTCTCGAATCGGCTATACTATTTACACACGATTCGTGCACATAGATATTTTGTTCGTGTAATAAATACGGCTGCCTGTGTAATTGTTGAGCTGTTAAATTTATAATAAAGGCTATAAAAAAAAAAATAATAAATAAATACGGCTATAGACAAATATTCATAAAAAAGCAAAAAGCCATTTCAATAGGGTTGGAACTTTGTCAGGAATTAAAAACAACCAAAGATCTCTCAAACATATGAAGCATATACAACATATTATATCAAATCATTTTTTACACATTTCTGTTACTTTTTTCTAAATTACTGCCTTAATAAAGTTGGCAACTTGTAATATTATTTCGCTCGAAATTCGTTTTTTTTGTGTTTGTGATAGTACTTGCTATTATAGCCTAGAAAATCGTGGGTGATACTAGTAATAAATCATAAGCCGACAATATTTTCAAGTCAGATATCAGTTAAGTATTTATAAAGGAAAATAATATATTACGTTTTTAACAAAATCCCGTTTACATTATACAAACAATGACTATGTGTAATGAGTCATTTTTTGCACACATTGTCTTTTAGACGTTTAAAATTTATCTTATAGACAACGTTTGCCTGTTAATATTTAAATACGAAATAACACCTCTTTTTTAAAAAAAATAAGGCTTTGTTTTATCGATTTTCCAACCGAAAATTCAAATATTTCTAATGCTGACAAAAATTTTAAATACATGTATGTACAAGGTGATCTATCTGATTTTAGACAGAAGTTTTCTAGGAAAACATGAATATTTTGAAAAAAATGTTACCTACACTAGGTACACGTTTTACTATATATTCAAAACATTTTTAACATCATCCTTTTAACCTAATAAGATTATTAGCTTTGTATTTTTTTCAAATGCAAACCCATGTGTATAAGTTGATAACTGGGTGGAAACACATTTATTTAAAAAATTGTCGTTTGAATTTTTAATTTTCAACAATCGGTTCTTTGCTTATGAGTAAACTTAAAAACTTACTAACTTATGAAAAAAATATAAGTAGAAGCTGGCTGTGCAGAATATTACAAAAAAATCTATCATTTTCAAATGAATTTGTATTAATATAAATACAGAAAAATATGATGTGGTGAATAGTAAAGTAAAAAATGTGGCAGGTTTTCGGGAAAAATTATGACTCAAACATACATTTTTATTAAATAAGTGTTGTCGTATGAGGGTATTTCGTTTATCTTCTGGATTATTAAATTAGAATTTTCAAATTCTATGCTTAATTAATTAGTTAATACTCATACATAAGAAATGTTGAATTATTTTAAATAACAAAAATTCAATGTTAAAAATGTATTAAGTAAGGTATATTTAGTAAAGTAAAAAATGTGGCAGGTTATTGGGAAAAAATATGACTAAAGTATTTATATTTTAATAACTTAATGTTATGATGAGAATTTAAAGAGAATAGCAATGCACAGGTTTTCGTATGAGGGGATTACGTTTGTCTCCTGAATTATTAAATTAGGATTTTCAAATTCTATGATTTCTTAATAAATTAATAGTTGAATTAAAAAAATGTTTAATTATTTTAAATAACAAATTGAATGTTAAAAATGAATTAAAAATTATAATTGCCGTTATTATAATAGTGTGTTACTATGAAAATATTAACGGTCGGTGGCCAATAAATAAGTACTTTTGTAGTTGTAAATGTTTATACTTGTAGGTGGGTTACATTTGTCATATTCGAGAATTTTAATAGTTTAACTAATCTATCCGTGATTTAATAAGTAAATTGCCGAAACCTATATTTTGAATAACATTTCATTTTCTTGATTTTGTTTTAAAACTTTTTCAATACACATATTTTTGTCATGTGGATAAAATAATAAAATTATGCATAATCCCCAATGGTTTAATTTTGTATGGGTGTACCAATTATGTTTGTATGATTTATGTACAGCGAATATACTTAGGTAGTTGCGTAGGTAATTGTTTTAATACTCGTGCAAACACGGAATTTGAGTTTGGCGGCCAGTTGCCACATCTACAAAAAATTACTAACAATATAGACGTACGTGCTCCCTTATTTTTTTTCTTCAGTTCTATGTAAAAAGGTCATTTCAAATCATACGTTTTGTTTTACAGATTAACTAAAGTTTAAAGTTTATAATATCATACAATGTTCCTTAAAATCTCTATTTTTTTACTATTTATTATCCTAACAGCTAATACAACTCTGGGCCAAACTGAAGATGAAGTAATTTTTTATACCATTTTAGGATATTCTTTTAAATTTACTATAAATAATATTATAGTAAAATAATTTTTAATAATATTACTTTAATAGTTTGTAAGTGTGTTTTTAAGTAATTATATTTAAAAATATTATTTCATATAAATCCAATAATATATTCTACCGTTGGCATTTCCATCATTATGTTGCCATAGAAGTCCAATTTTCATCATATAAAAAGTTTGGACTACCCCATCATTAATTATGATGGGGTAAGATCAGGTAACAATAATTTTGTTACCTGTAAATCCGAACGTAATAAATGTTTTAAATAAATTAGGCATAACTTTGTAAAAGCTTTGCTTTATTATTTGACTATGAACTAATGAATATTTGTGTTACATAGCAAACAATGAAATAAAGTTTAGATAAATATTTAGCTTTTATATTAAGTACAAAAATATTAAAGACTGTCAGCAAAATCATGTGTACTAGAAAGTAGAAATACCTCTTACTATATTTTAAACATTTTCTAGATTAGTTTTTAAAATAAAACAATCGTTTTTCTGGTTTCATTTTTTACGTTCAAATACCGGGACAGCATTTTAGACCATACACAGGTAGACGCAATCTTCACTGACTTTAAAAAGACTTTTGATTCAGTTAATTTGAGGTATTAATTAAGATATATAATGCTTCAGATTTTAGTGAGCATTTTGTATCATGGTTAAGTTTGTTTATTGTAATAGATGCTTTATAGTCAAGGTATTTGGTGTAATTTCTGATATTTTCCTGTCTCCGTCTGGTGTTCCACGAGTGGGTAATTATCTGAAAAAGTAGATTCTCCGTTCCGCTTCAGCTTAATTATTTTCAAAATCCTTCGATAATCCTTCATTTATAAGATCCCTTTCTAAATGTTGTGATTTTAATTTAAGTGCTGTTATAATTATAGATGTTAGTTTATTCTTCTAACTTAAGTCCTAGAAGTAAACAATGAATCGAACTTGGGAAAGCCAGATTTAGACTCCATACATACCAAATTATTAAACAAAAAAATTGTATGGCCTATATCATTTTCAACATCATCTCTTAAACGAAATAATATTATCAACTTTGTTTTTTTCAAATTCAAACCCAAATGCAATACTATTGAGTTACATTTGCTATATCTGTCCGTGATCTAATAAATAAATTGCCAAAACCCAAATTCTGAATAAAATTTAATTTTTTTATTTAAAAGTTTTTTTAATACACATTTTTTGTCACGTGGATAAAATAATATAATTATGCATAATCTCCAATGGTTTAAATGTGTATGGGTACACGCAGGCCATAAGACAGCTGATAATAAAATTTTACAAAATGTAAAAATGACTATGACACACTGTCGTTGTGTTTTAATATAATATGATATTATACTTTTTTATTCTTTAAAATTTGTAAAAAATATTAACAATAACCTAAAATTTATCTTCTTATAATATAAGAAATATAGTGGGCAATGGTGCATGAGATAGGTGTGTAGAATGACAAGATTAGACAAATAAGAAATGATTATATAGGAAGATTTATTAAGCGAGATTTTTCCAATTTAAACGACGAAAAAGTTTAGCACTTATGATACTAAGATAATGTACATACTAATGTATGATATAGATAATTCTTCTACACATTGTAATAACGTATTGAAGCTCAATGTTTTGTAGTCCAAAATGCATTTTCTATCTACTTTTCTGCGCGTTTAAGACATTGTTATGTTTCTATGATTGATACACATCGAATATACTTGCGTAGGTAGTTGTTTAAATAGTTATGAAAACGTACAATTTGAATGACAATGTCACATTTACAAAAAAAATACTAGTGAAATTTGATATGTATATGTGCTAGTAAATTTTTCTTCTCCAGTTCTATGTAAAACAGGCATTCAAAATCATTCGTTTCTTTTTACTGATTTACTACAGTTTAGAGTTTACAATATCGTACAATGCTCTTTAAAATCTCTATTTTATTACTAACTATTATCTTAACATCTAATACTGCCCAGGGCCAAACGGAATATCAGGTAAATTTTTATATTATTTTAGGATATTGATTTGAAATTATTATAAAATAATATTATATTCAAATAATTTTAGAAATAATTATTCGAATATAAAATGAATTAAATCATTTTTTAAATTATTATTTTAATAGTCTGTAAGTGTTTTTTTTGAAACAAAGTTCCTTATCGCGGGTTGGCGAGGGAATCTAGCCGAGAAAAAATGTAACGCGTTACGAAAACTATATGTGGTGCGGTCGAGCGTGATCGGTTCCCAGGAGTGAGTGGTATCGGGTCAAATCCGGCTCCCTCTCAACACTTTTTGTATTTTTTTACAACTTTTTTTTCAATTTTTATGGTAATTTATATTGCAAAAAGTTCTAAATATTTTACTTATAAAACTTATAAAATATTTATATTTTATTACTACAGAATACGTTTTTACCCTTAAAAGTATTTGATAACCTACATTGCATTTGGTTTTTTGTCGTTTATTATACTTACTCGTACTGATGATTGAATAATAATTTTTTTTGTATAATTGCACTATTTTAGAATTCAACCTATAAAGTTGTAGGACTAAACAAATACTGAAATATAGTGTAAATTAATTTTTCATGATAACTGTTATAATTTGGTTTGAGCAAATTATGAAAATTAATAATTATCATTGATATATATGTCTAAAATATGTTACCTCATTACGTTTCATTGTTAATAACCGTTTGTTCCAAAGTAACTATGAGTAATATTGTACGAAATACAAATATGTAACACAAAATTTCTTGTATGATTAACACAATCTTTTAAAAACAAATAAATATAGATATTGCAAATAAATTTATGAATATAGTTATTTATTGCATCAGTAATCAAAATTAAAGAGGGGGGTGGGTAGAGAGAATGAGAGCCTGGCACGTTAATGATTAATTATGCCAAACCTGCTTACGGAAGGGACTTTGTTCCAAACGCGTGTCCCACGACACGAACCAGTTTTTTTGAAGTAATTATATTTAAAACTATCATTTCGTATAATTCTAATATATATTATAATAGAAAATATAATATAAAATCAGTCAATCTTTTTTTATTCGAATAAATTGTGAAATAATAATTTGAATAACGTTTTTTTAACTCTGTAAACACTGTAAACAGGTGAAAGATTTCTTATACAGTTATTATTGTTCAGAAAACTATTATTATTTAACCTTAAACATGTACAATTAAAATCATTTGGCTTACAAATTTTTAATCAAAATAAGTTTTTAATATTGTTTGTTAAGGGGCCTTGCGACAGTGATTTAGTGAAGCATTGTAGGTATAGGCTACTATTCTTAAAAACATTTATGATAACATTTGTAAAAATATTTATTTATATATATTAACCAGAAATTAGAGGTCTATTAATATTGATGTATAATTTACATCAATATTCACAGATAAAAATAATACTACACTCATGAAAAAAGAAAATCAAATTATTATTTAAACCCAGTGAGATATTGACTGGTTCATGATAAAAGAATGACCTTGTATATATATATATATTAACCAGGAAATAGAGGTTTATATTGCTATATAGTTTTTCTCTTTTATTATTTTTTAACTACAACCCATAAAGGCTCTATTTTTGAACAAAAAAACCCTTGGCATTTCCATTATATGCCATGTTTTGAATACCCCATATTTCATAATTATTGTTATTCGAACGTAATAAATGATGTATTCTAAAAAAAAAAAAAATTTGTTAATATTATATATAAACTAGGCAAAACTTTGTAAAATCATTGCTTTAGTATTTAGCTTTGAGCTAATCAATATTTGTGTTATATAGCAAAATATTAAAAAAATGGTTAGATAAATATTTAGTTTTTACATTGGGTACAAAAATACTAAAAATTGTATTATTCATGTGTACTTAAAATACCTCTTACTATATTTTAAACATTTTCTACATTAGTTTTAAAAAAATAACAATCATTTTTCGGGTTTGATTTTTTGTGCAAAAATCGATCGTAATCGTAACTGACTTTAAAAGGCTTTTGATTCAGTGAATTTGAGATCATAATTGAGCCTCTTGTATCATGGTTAAGTTTGTTTATCTGTGATAGATGTTTTATAGTCAAAGGCTGGTGTTCCACAAGGTGGTAACTTTTCACCACTGTTATTTTTGTTAGTGCATGTAAGCTACTTTGTGGTCTCAGTCGTTAGGATTTAGGGTTAACCCTTAACTTTGAACAGTGTCACGTATTGGAATTCACAAAAAAAACTTTCTATTTTTATATAGTCTTATAATAATCTGTTTAACTCGTTCCCGGACATGATATCGATATGATAAGTTGTAAAGCCCACAATATTCAATGATGATAATGAACCTATTAGAAGATCATTATCACTTACACAATGCACTTATACCCTAAACACCAGTGCAGTTATAATGGTATAATTAGTTATACCCTTCATTGCCCAAGTGCCATAATAGTTGCAAGTTTTCTAACTTAAGTCCTAAAAGTAAACGATGAACCAAACTTAGGAAAAGTCATATTTGGACTCCATCTGTAACAACTGTGAATAAGTGTGTAAGTCGATTTCAGTGATTTTACAGAGGAGCGATTTTAAACATTGACCGCTGCCATAAATCCCTACTTAGCCAATAACTCACATCTCTCTCAAAGTTTTTTTTGTTGGTTCAAGGTGTGCTAGACGCCTCGGACTACATCCTAGCGTACTTAGTCAATTTTGACCAAAATTCGACTTACACACTTATTCATAGTTGCTACAGCCATATATACCAAAATTTGTAATTATTAAACAAAAAAATTCGTATGGCTTGGATCATAATTCAGTACCCTCGGGGTTAATTATGTGTACCATATTATTGACATGAATACAATATAAAATTGTAATACATATAAAAATGTATATTAAGTACAATGGTTAAATTAATCAATTTCTGATAGAAATTAAAAAAATATGCTCAACGAATCTACTAATTTTACAATTATTTAGGTCTTTAAATGATTGCACAATTATGTAAAACATTAAGCAACACCCCATTTGTGAAAAACAGTGAAATTAGCTATAACTTAAAAATTAACTTGAGGTTAATTGTTAGCTTTAAAAAATTCATAAAAAGTTTAAATTTGATACATCTTTAAATTTTATAATCGGGAAATTATATAAAAAGTTTATTAGTATTAATGTATAACATTTCAGATTATAAGACAAGCTTACGAAACTTGTAAAAAATGGTCAACTAAATCTCCAGATGACCCTATACTATTGCGTGGATTTTGGTTGTTTATGGGAAGAAACAACAGCGACCATTTTAGAATAATAAAATACTTCACTGAAAAAAATGTATTTGAAGGTAAACATTTTCCATTATTTATTTATTATTTGAAAGTACTTGGTTTGAACTGTGCTGTATTCTTAGTATCTAATGATTCACGCACATCGTTTATTACAAAGTAATATTTCACTTTTAGTTATAATAATTCATGTTGACCCGTGATGTCCCCTGACCCTATAGCTATTTTGTTTTTACTTTATGAACAGTGTTTTTAATTAAATCAAAACTTATGTTCTCAAATTCATATTTAAATTGTTTTGTAGCTTTATACTCGACTTAATAATATCACTCAAAATAGGTGTCCATAAAAATATAGATATAATCTGGTAACTTCTTTTGAAGCTTTAACGTTTTTATGTTAACTTTTACTAGAAAGTACAAAAATAGTTTTCCGGCCTATAAAAAAGAACTGTGATTCCGATTTTTCGTTATACAAACAATACCTTTTTAGCTCCACATCTAAGCTAAACTGTGCTGTTTCGTTGTTACCTGACTAATGCGTTACACCATGATTCGATAACTCCAATTTGCAAAAATATTATGAGTATATTTTAATAATTTTTGTTTCTTTTCTTTAGGTCTGGATTACAATCATTTTAGGACTCTTTTTAAAAAAATATGCATCGAACGTGACGTTGACGTCAAGGTCTGGGCAGTATCTAGGATAGATAAAGCGACAAAAAGGACAATACTAGAGACAGAACGTTTGAAACCAGAACAAACTGATGATGGTGCTTCTAGTTGTAATGATGAGTCGGACGAAGAAGAAAAAGAGAGAGTAATTTTTAGACTATTATTATAAATTGTGTTAGATGAATCCACAACTTCTACTATGCACATTAAGTATTGAAATGTGCATCACTAATCAACATACTTTTTGTGAACAACGGTTAAATTATTAAAGACCTTAAGATTAATATTATAGTTATTATTGTTGGTATATTGAAAAAATAAAAAACTTTTCAGATTCGTTCGATTCTAAAAGACTCGTTCGATGATTGTAGAAGATGGTTGCACGGAGACAGTAAGGAACCTCTAGCTGATAATATTGGATTGAGTGGTTTTTGTTATTACATGGGTTTAAGGCAAAACGATACAATAGTAAATGAGTTCTTTGTAAACAATTTAGATGCCAGTAAGAGAATGGCAGATAACTACAGTAAAGATCAAGGTAAACATTTTTTATATATTTAATTTATCATTTAACAATATTCTTTTATAATATTTCCCACGTGAAACTGTGTAGCAATTTGTTTAAAGGGAGTATTAAAAATACGCATTGTATTTTCAATCGAGTTTATAAATAAAAATAAATAGGTATATCATTTAATAATTTTTGCTGAACTAAAAAAAATAGTAAACAAAATAAATATTATATACTTTCTGACTAAGTTTCTTTAATGTGGCTACCAAAAACAAGAACCCATAAAATGTCAAACAGTCTAGCATAGTTTATACAGCTAAAAATTCTAACAACAGACGACCGACACTCCAGTAACCTAATGAGCTGTAGCGTGCTCTCACTCTAATATTTTTATCATGGTAATATTTACATAACATGGCTAAAATGTACACGCGTTTAATGGGATTTCGATGATTCGTGTGACTGAGTGATTGGTTAACTATGGACCAGTCAATAACTTAGAAGATATTATTTTAATTATTAGAAGACTTATTTTAATTATTTTTTTTTTTTTTTTATAATTTTATAGCTTTTAGTTGGGACAAATTTAAAATATTTTTGAAAAATATAACCCTATACCTTATATGTTAAAACCGTATAAACTTAAGAATTTCAATAGAAACATATGTATTATATTAACTATTTAAATTAAGGTAAATTATCTAAACAGTTTGACTGGTCTATAACCAGTTTTGGGTAGTTAATTTTCAAGTTATTTTATTTTAAAAGTTATGACGGAGGAGAAGGGTGGTTGAGTAATGCGGCAGATAAAAACATCTCTACTCTCCACCATTTCATGCGTCCTAAATTTAAACTTTAATAACTTTGAAACTAATTATCCAAAACTGGATATCGACCATTCAAAATATTCAGCAAATTAATCTTAATTCAAAAAATTAATCAAATATATACGATACAATATAAAAAACTCAAGTTTATACGATTTTAACATATAAAGGACGAAGTTATAATTTAAAAAAGTATATTAAATTTGTCCCAACTAATAACTATAAAATTATTAAAAAAAAAAATAATTAAAAAATGTCTAATATCTTCTGAGTTATTGACTGGTCCATAGTTAACCAATCACCCAGTACAGACAGTGAACGCTAGGCTTTTCGTTTTACTTAGCTCCGCAATACTGCCGTGTCGCTGGATTTAATTATTTTTTAATTAAATAATTTATTATTTTGTTTTAGGTCCTATAGATTTATACATATATATTCAACTTTTTAAATACATATGCGACAAAAGTGAGGATTATATAGAAGCAATGGCTAATTATAGGATACGCCAGGCGTCAAGAAGGACAGTAAAGGACGTTATGTCGTTACCTGAGGAGATACGCGATTAGCTTGCCAAAAATGAACGTTACTAGAAGGAAAAACAAATCATTTTTCACAATCTAATAACAACATGTTAATAATGTTAAGAAATGTTTAAAAAAAAAACAATAAATCTAAACGAATTTTATGTCAAAAAAATCACTATTTTATCAAATAAACCGATTATTCATAATTTGTGTATCGTTAATTTTATCTAAAAGTAAAAAAATAAAAACTAATATACATTAGTTGGTAATTCCAAAAGGAACAAATTTGAGCAACTCTTCAATATAGCATGAATAAGTTCACATAAAAATGCTATGAAAAAAAAATATATAGTTTTTTAAAAGGGGTTGGTGGAGGGGAGGGGTGGGAACGGGGTTGAGGGTGGGAATGGGGGCATATATGTTGTATTCACAACGTTATAAATAGAACTGAAAGATAAATTCTTGAAAACAAAACTTGATATGGTAGCCACCTTGATAATGATAATGTACATAATAATGTATGAAATAGATAATTCTTCTACGTTTTGTAAAAACGTATTGAAGCCCAGTGTTTTGTAGTTCCAAACACATTTTCTAACTACTTTTCTGTGCGTCAAAGACCACGTTATGCTTGTATAATTGATATACAGCGAATATACTTGCGTAGGTAAATGTTTCATTACTTGTGCAATCATGTTATTTAAATAATAATATCACATCCACAAAAAAATACTAGTAATATTTGATATACGTATATTTTTTTTCTTCAGTTCTATGTAAAACAGGCATTCAAAATCATTTGTTACGTTTTACAGATTGACTACAGTTTAGACTTTAGACTTTAGAGTTTACAATATCGTACAATGCTCTTGAAAATCACTATTTTATAACTATCTATTATCTTAATAGCTAATACTGCTCTTGGCCAGTCTGAAGATGAAGAAAATGTACCTTTTACTAGTAATGATGCGTTGAGCGTAGACGAAGAAATAACAGTAATTTTTAGACTATTATTATAAATTGTGTTAGATGATGGGTAAATTCCAAAAAAATATTAAATGGGTAACATTTCTTTTATTAATTTAAACATTTAATTTGTCGAATCCACTACCTCTACTATGCATATTAAGTATTAAAATGTGCATAATGACGTAGGTCATTAATCAACACCCATATTGTGAACAACAGTTATATTAGTCATGACCTTAAGTTTTAATATTATAGTTATCGTTTTTGGTATAATAATATTATTAAAAATCTTTTCAGATTCGTTCGATCCTAAAAGATTCGTTCAAAGATTGTAGAAAATGGCTGCATGGAGATAATAATGAACCTCTAGCTGATAATATTGGATTGAGTGGCTTTTGCTATTACATGGGTTTTAACTAAGATGATACAACAGTAAATGAGTTCTTTGAAAACAACTCAGATGCCCGTGCTAGAATGATGAAAAACTACAATAGTAATAATGAATTATCTCAAGGTAAATATTATTTAATTTATCATTTAATAATATTCTTTTATTACCTTTTAATACCTTTCTTGTGAAACTGTATAGCACTTAGTTTAAATGGAGTATTAAAAATACTCACTGTATTATTAATAGAGTTTATACAAATAATAAGTATATCTCTTGCTATTTTTCCTTAACTAAAAAATAGTAAGCAAAATAAAATATAAGAATCCTAAAACTTAATAAGATTAACCTAAAAAAGTGTCCATAAAAATATTTTTTTCACGGTAACATTTACATGGCTAAAAATTACACGCACTTAATGGTATTTCGATGATTCGTGTATAGTATATAAATAGTGAACGCTAGGCTTTTCGTTTTACATAGCTCCGCACTTAGCACAGCATAGCACGCATATACTGCCGTGTCGCTGGATTTATTTATTTTTTAATTAAATTATTTTATTTTTTTGTTTTAGGTCCTATAGATTTAACCTTATATATTCAACTTGTTCGATACATAAGTGACAAAAATCACGTTTATGTAAAATCATTGGCATATTATAGGATAGGCCAAGCGAAAAAAAGGACAGTACGTGAAGTTATGAGATTAAATGAGGAAAAACATGATTAGCTTGTCGAAAATGAAGATTACAAGAATGCTAAACAGATAATTTTTCACAGTCTAATAACAACATGTTAATAATGTTAAGAAAATGTTAAAAAAACAATATGTGCAAACGAATTTTATGTCAACAAAATTACTTTTTTTTCAAATAAACCGATTATTCACAGTTTGTGTATTGATAATTTGATATAAAAGTAAAAAACTAAAAATTAATATATATTAATTGGTAATTCCAAAAGGAGCAAAATTTGAGCAACTCTTCAATACACCATTATTAAGTTTACATAAAAATCCAAGGAAAACAAAATATCATTTGTATATCTATTCGTTAATTATCTTGTCTAGTCTATACTTGACTCTCAATAATATACAATTAGTGAGGTAAGGATCATCTCGTCAGCTGTTATACTATTTACACTACTAGTAAACTACACTGACAAGGTTTAGGCATCATTTTTTTTTTTTTTACACATGTTATACGGAGTATGTTAGAACTATCTTCTGACTAATTTTCAGCTCTTCAGCTTTACAACAGGGCGATGGGAATTCGCATTTTAGGTTTTTCTATTTGGAACTCCGTCGATAAAACTTTTTACATTTAAGATGCTAACGTTAAAAATCGAAAATACTATACGTGTATTAAGTATACAGTATTTTACATAAAGCAAAAAGCCAGTACAATGAGGTCGGCACCTTGTCAGAAATTAAAAAAAAACCCGAGGGCCTCTTAAACATCTAAAAATGTAGTGACAAAATATTAGAATTCGCGCGTGTGTTGTTCATATACGAAAATATATTTTTTTATACTTGGCGCGAAAAATTTTAAGATTACTCGTGCACAAATTTATCTGTTTGAAAAAAACAACAGATATTGTATTATTGCTAACGCATTTTCCAAAAGCCATGCCATGTTATTGGATTTGAGCATAAGAGTGTACCTATAAAAATGCTTACCGTCAAAAGAAAAAAAAACAATAGCGGTCTTTTGACAATACAACTATTTATTGAGTTGTTTTTGTCGATTTATCTAGCTAACTTTTAAATAACAAGGCATGTTTAGTAAACTATATACTTAATCGTATTAACTCTTTTAATTTGATGAAATGTAAACAATGTTAACTACATTGGGATCCAATGCGATATCTTTAAACCACTAAACTAATTACTAAACTAGTTTTATAAAAGCAGTACCACTGAATTGCATTTGTCATATTCGAGAATTTTAATAGTAAAACAAATCTGTCCGTTATCCAATAAGTAAATTGCCCAACCCAAAATTTGATTAACATTTCATTTTCTTAATTTTGTTATAAACTTTTTTTCAGTAGACATTTTTTTGTTACGTGAATAAAATAATATGCATCTAGGATAATAACTATGCATTATCTACAATGGTTTAAATTTGTATGGGTACACATAGTCCATTGGAGAGATACTCAAATTCTACAAAACGTAAGAATGATTATGCACTCATAGTCATTGTGTTTTAATATATGTTATGATATTATACTTTTTTATTCTTTCACATTTGTAAAAAATATTAAGAAATACCTAAAATCTATCTTCTTATAATAAAATAAATATACGGTGCATGAAATGATTATATACGAAGATTTTCAAAGGGAGATTTTTCCAATTTAAACGGCAAACAAGTACAGCACTTATGATACTAAGATAATGTACATACAGATACTAATGTATAATATAGATAATTTGTCTACACATTATAAAAACGTATTGAAGCCCAGTGTTTTTTATCCCAAAAACATTTTCGAACTACTATTCTGTGCGTTGTGGACATCGTTATGTGTGTATGATTGACATACAGCGAATAAACTTGGGTAGGTAAATGTTTCATTACTTGTGCAATCGTGTTATTTAAATAATAATATCACATCCACAAAAAAATACTAGTAATATTTGATATACGTATATTTTTCTTCTTCAGTTCTATATGTAAAACAGTCATTCAAAATTATTCGGGTCGAACTTACAGATTAACTACAGTTTAGAGCTTATAATATCTTACAATGCTCTTGAAAATATCTATTTTATTACTATCTATTATCTTAACATCTAATACTGCCCAGGACCAAAGTGAAGATGGAGTAATTTTTTATACTACTTTTGAAATTATTTTAAATCATATTATATTCAAATAATTTTAGAAATAATTATTGAAATATAAAATGATTTGAATCGTTTTTTAAATTATTATTTAAATAGTTTGAAAGTGTTTTTTTTTTTAAGTAATTATATTTAAAATATTATTTCGTAGTTTTGAATCACATCAAACTACTTTGTATTACATGGATTTTGATGACATAAAGCTATTTATGAAAATTATCTATCCAAACGATTGCCGTAAATTATAAAGTGACTTAAATAACTTTGTTGAGTGGTCCCAAACATTTGGTGAGACACTTAATTTTTAAAAGTTTCATGTATTGGCATTCACAAAAAAAAATTAGATTACGGCGCTTTTCTTTGATATCCACATAACAATGGACACTCTCGTTAGGTAGAAATGGTCCAACTTAAATCCCTTAGTTTTTCGGATTTCGTTCTTCATATTCATCGTCAAACTTAGCATTGAAACTTGAGAAACATGGATACTCAATTAGGTAAAAATTCTTAAGTGGCTAATTATCTGGAAAAATTGATTATCCGTTTCTCTTAAGTTTGATTAACTTTAAGATACTTTAACAAATTTCTCATTATTAGGTTCCTTTCTAAATTCCCCTATATACCTCTCATTATTTCGGTGCATACTAGTTGCTTCCCAAGAATATCTGAATTACCTCTCCGGTTACCTTTATTTTTTGTCATAACATTTTTGGTAAACAATAGTTGCCTCCCGTGCCAGGTAGTTAATGATTTAGCTAATGAACCAATTAGAAGATTATTATCACTTGCCAATGTTCTAAGTTGTAACCATAATTACCTTAAAATATAAAATTGTGTATAATTTCATAAGGTTTATCTTATAAAATAAAATAATACGTTTGTTCTCTTTTTAAAATTATAACATTTTGTCATTTAAATTTATTTAACATAAATATTATCAGTTATACACTTATACCCTAAAAACCCAAGTTCTGTTGTAATTGTAGATGTTAGTATATCCTTCTAACTTAAGTCCTAAAAGTAAACAATGAATCAAACTTGGGAAAAGTCACCATATATACCAAATTATTAAACAAAACGATTTGTGTGGCCTGTATCATAATTCGGTACCCAAAAGGTTAATTATGTATTTCATATAATTCTTATGGATGTAATAAAAAATTATATTTCATTGAAATATTAAGTATATTAAGTACAATGGTTAAACTAATATATTACTGCTAAAAATGAAAAAAATATGTTGAACGAATCCACTATTTATACAATTATTGAAGTCTTTAAATGTGTATAATAATGTAAAATATTAATCAACACCCTAATTGTGAACAACAGTGAAATTAGTTATGACCTAAAAATAAAGTATATTAATATTAAACATTTCAGATTCTAAGAATTGCTTACGAAACTTGTAAAAAATGGTCAACTAAATCTTCAGATAACCGTATAACAATGAGTAGATTTTGGTACTATATGGGAAAAAACGGCACCGACCTTGATAGAATAATAAAATATTTCACTGAAAAAAAAGTATTTCAAGGTAAACATTATTCATTATTAATTTATTATTTGACTGTACTTGGTTTAAACTATGCAGTATTCTTACTATCCAAAGATTCACAACACATCGTTTACATCCAGTAGACCCATGATGTCCCCCGATCCTATAAGCTTTTTTATTTTTACTTTGTGATCATTATTTTTATTTAAGGCAAAACTTATGTGCTCAAATGGTTCAAATATAAAATGGTTTTTTGTAGATTTTTACTCGACCAAAAAAAAAATTAATGTATAAAATTCTATATTTCGTACAAAACTTATTAAGATCACTGAAAATAGGTGTCCATAAAAACATAGATACACCTGATAACTTTTTTCGAAATTTTAATACGTTTATGTAAAATTTTACTAAACCAGCTAACAACTTAGTTTTTCAGACTATAATTCCAATATAACTCCCTGTTTAATATGGTTGAGGTAGATATAAGTTCTAACTTCAGATTCAATTTCAACAAAAAAAAAAATGTCCAGATACCAGTTGACCGTTGTTACCTACTTATAATACGTCACGAGTTTAATTTTACTGTTTTTTGTCATTGAAATTTGTATAGCTAGGGGGAAGTCAAAAGATTGTATTGGGACAAATAACCGGCGATCAAATATATAAGTTTAATTTTACCCTTTCTGAGTATTTTTTGATTTAATATAAAAAAAGTTTAGCTAGAGAATTTATGAAAACATTTTACATAATAAGACCCCACTTTCAGTCTTCTTTCAAGACCTAAGACCAAAGATAAAAAATATATTTAATAAAATATTTTAATATTGTCGGTCCAGAAACAATTTTAGATAAATAAATACATAATGTTGTACAAACAATACCTTTTCAGCTCCACATCTAAGCTAAACTGTACTGTTTCGTTGTTAACTGAGGTGACCAATGCGTTACACCATGATTCCATAACACCAATTTGCAAACATATTATGAGTATATTTAAATAATTTTTGTTTCTTTATTTTAGGTTTAGATTTCGATAATTTTAGGACGCTTTTTAAAAAAATATGCATCGAACGTGACGTTGACGTCAAGGTTTGGGCAGTATCTAGGATAAGTAAAGCGGCATCAAGAACAATAGAACAGACTACATTTTTAAAACCGGAACAAACTGATGATGGTGCTTATACTAGTTATGATGAGTGGGACGTACATAAAGAAATAAGAGTAATTTTTAGACTGTTATTATAAATAGTGTTAGATGATGGGTAATATAACTAACATTTCTGTTATTTATTAAAAAAAAAAATTTACCGAATCCATTAATTCTACAGTTTAAGTATTTAAATGTGCATATTGACGTAGATCACTAATAGTCATCCTTGTTGTAAACAACGGTTGAATTAGTCAAAACCTTAATTTTTAATATTATAGTTATTTTTATTGATATATTGACAAAATAAAAAACTTTTCAGATTCGTTCGATTCTAAAAGACTCGTTCGATGATTGTAGAAGATGGTTGCATGGAGACAGTAAGGAACCTCTAGCTGATAATATTGGATTGAGTGGCTTTTGTTGTTACATGGATTTAAGCAGAAATGATACAATATTAAATGATTTTTTTGAAAATAATTTAGATGCATGTGAGAGAATGGCAGATAATTACAGTAAAGATCAAGGTAAACATTATATGTTATTTGTTTGATTTATCATATTATATTATATTCTTAAATAAATATTAATATTAATAATAATATTCTTTAATATCTTCGACATGAAACTGTGTAGCAATTTGTAAAGGGAGTATTTAAAATACTTATCGTTTTACTAATCAAATTTATAAAAATTAATAAGTATATCAGTTGCTATTATTTTGTTAACTAAAAATAATATTAAACATATAAAAAATAAAAACCCTAAAAATCGATATGATTAACCTAAATATGATTAACCTAAATAAGTGTCTATAAAAATATTGACAAGACCTAATCATTATTTTCTTTTTTTTATCTAAGTTTTAACGAGTTAATGTAACAATTACAAATTCTGCTAAAGCCTAAAGCACAGTTTTCTAGGAAAAAAATATATTCCTGTTGTTATAGATAAATAAATATACTTCCTACCTTTTGACTAATTTTCAACCTAAAGGTTCTTTGATTGTGGCTATCAAAAGCAAAATCTCATAAAAAGAAACAGTCTAGCATAGTTTTTATAGCTAAAAGTTCTAAGAACAGACGACAGACACTCCAGTAACCAAATTAACTGTAGCGTGTCCACACTCGAATATTTTTTTATGATAACTGTTACATAATAGGGTTGGGCCTATCCGGATATTCGGATATCCGAAATCCGCATAGTTTCGGATATTCATTTCATTTTTATAAGACAAATATACCATAATAATATACAGTGTTCTTAAACATACCGAATAATAAAATAATGACACCTAATTAAATTTTACTATCACATGAATGATTTTTAGATATACCCGTGTTAGTGGTTGTTAACCGACTATTCGGACTCTTTGCAGAGTCCATCCTCAGGGTTGTCACGACTGTTCCGCTGCCGGTTAATAACCACTCACACGGATATATTTGAAAATCATCCATGTGATATTTCAATCCGTGAAAGTTTCAAAAAATACATAAATTTGAGTACTCAAAAAAATATATTCGGCTGGTTAAAAATTAAATTAATATCCGAAACTATCCGGATAATTTTTTAACTATTCGGATAGTTTTGGTTCTACGGATAATTGAAATATTATTTGATATCCGAAACTATCCGGATAGTTGATCAATTATCCGGATATCCGAAATTATCTGGATTTCGGATATCCGTATCCGAATTATCCGGATATCCGCAAAATCCGAATATTAGTCCCAACCCTATTACATAACATGGCTAAAATTTACACACACTTAATAGGATTTCGATGATCCGTGTATAGTATACAGACAGTAAACTCCTCTAGGCTTTCCGTTTTACTTAGCTCTGCACTATACTGCCGTGTAGCTGGATTTTCTTATTTTTTAATTAAATAATTTGATTTTTTCGTTTTAGGTCCTATAGATTTAAACATATATATTCAACTTTTTAAATACATATACGTCAATAATAACGTTTATGTAGAAACAGTGGCCAGATATAGGAAACATCAAGCGACACAAAGGACACTAATTGACGTTATGTCGTTACGTGAGAGGGATCGTGATTAGCTTGTCGAAAATGAAGTTTACTGGAAGGCAAAACAGATGAATTTTCACAGTCTAATAACAACATGTTAATAATATTTTAAAAAACATTATGTCAAAACAAATTTTATGTCAATAAAATCACAATTTTTTCAAATTAACTGATTAACAATTTGTGTATTGTTAATTTTATCTAAAAGTAAAAAATTAAAAATTATTATAAATTAATTGTTAATTGAAAAAGGAGAAAATGTTAACAACTCTTCAATATAGCATTCATAAGTTCACATAAAAATGAAAAGAAAAGAAAACATCCTTTTTCATATCTTTTCGTTAATTGTCTAGTCTAGTCTATACTTGACTCTCATTAGCATTTGAGTTATAGTGTTAAGAATCATCCCGTCAGTTGTTATACTATCTTTAAGATAATCTATACTGATAAGGAGTAGGGATAGGTTAATTTCTAAATAACAAGGCATCTTTTTGTAAACTATATACTGAATCATATATTAATTCTTTTAATCTTCATTCTAACTACATTTGTTGCTTACCTAATGATTTTTTTTAAATTTGACATTTTTACATTTGGATTACATATTGATTTTTATTAAGCATAATAAATGCATAACAAACCTACCCAAAATTATTATACTTAAATTGTGGGTACCTATTTATGTATCTCGGTAGAAAATATTGGTATAATGTTAACTACATTGGGATCCAACAACACCACACAGATTAATATTATACTTAAGGTGACTAATGTAACGGGTGTTTATTTTACTAAAACTGGTAGATTTATATTATCTACAAATAATTGTGTTTGGTTTGAATTTCAGGCCATCAGCGCTAAGTAGAGCTTTTTTTTTTTAATATTGACCTACATACCGAATTCGAAAACTAATGTTTTCAATACAAATTTTCTTACAAAGGTTTACTCGTTGCACTATTTTTAAAGCCAATTAAAATGTATACATTTGTTTTTCTATTTAATCATTAACTTATAGGTTACAATAAATGTATACGTTTTTTGTTGGGTATTGATAAAAAACACAAGCAAATAGAGGAAGCGACCGGTAAAAGGTATTGGGAAACAGTTAAAATAATTAAATATACGAAGTCAGATATGGTGTACATTTTAAGACTCATCAGGAATGGATGAAACTTGTTTGGAGCGAATTGAAATGGAAAATTCCGGGGGGGGGGGGGAAGAGGCCTCTCAGTCTAAGTATAATCCAAGTTGTAATACATAAGCGAAAAAATATTGTGCACGTGTACTGTTCAAATAATAACATGTTTTCATTAAAACTATAGAAAAGTGAAAGTTACCTATGTACGAATTAACAAAAAGTCGTTTCCAATAGAAAATACACGTGTGTTGAGGCCTTTGAGTAAAGTCAAGGTAAATTTTGTTCGGTTACTTTAAGCACAGCCTATGTATCAGTTTACAAATGAGTAGAAATGTTTTTTTTAATTGTTCTAATTTTTGATAATTGGTTCATTAAAGTAATGAATTAAATTTCCCCATTGGGTTTCTCATCCCCCGCTAGAACATTCTTCAGCTCTACAAAAGATACATTTTACAAACGAAGCAAATGGTCCTTTATTCCAACATTTCCAGTATGCTGTCGTCTTATCAACCCTAATATCAGCCGCGTACCCCTTGCCTAGGTTTCATGGCGTAAATCTTACACCACAATAAATTACTTTTTTAGCTAGTCTAAGATTCGGCCATTACCGATTTCTCTTTTTCCAATTAATATAACATGGCAATCTTTATTGTCATCAGCAATTCGAAAATGTATTTATTGCTGGAAAATTTAGAATTGCATATTTTTAAGTCACGTGTAATAGTAATGCGATGGATTCAAATCACTCAATCTGGTTTTATAAATATAGTTAAAAACATTTCACTTAATTCCTCATCGTACTGCACCTTACACGAAGCAACTACTAAAATAAGTGATTTTTCCCATCCTGTTTTTCATTGTCCTACTCTCTATTCCATTATTCTTAATCCCTGTCCTGTTCCCATCATATCCTAATAGCTTTTCCATTCAAGCATATTGTGTGCATACATTTTTTGTAATGTATTTTATTATATTTATAGTTGATTCTAACTTTAAAACGTATGATGACATTGTACCTATGACGTTGTTTAATAAAGGCTAAACAAAAAGTTATTTTAAACGTGATAAACATTAAGATGTGGCAAATATACATTGTTGTTCTTTTGATAACACACTTGATAATCATGTAGACGAAGAACGTGAGTTAAGTACTAACTGAAGGTTCGGTGAAAAAAAAATATTCAAATTTAGACAGATTACATTCGGTTTAAAAAAACCCCCATAATATTATATTATCTTGTTGTATCATTTGTCTATTTTGCAGATAAGTATGCGCCACAGCAATTTAGATCATACAAATATTACAACTTAGGTAAAACTATAAAAAAAATTGTTGTTTAAAATAAGTTGTTTTTGTGAAATATGACTGTTCATATAACGTCAAAACAAAAAAGGTCGTGTGTAACCAACTGGCGTTTTTCATATTTTTTTTTGCAATGCTATAGTCATTGTGCAAAATACTGTATAATAGTGTAATGTGTAAGAAAATAGGACACCTATACATTGATGGCTTTTGTACAACGAGGGGATGTTAGCTACAACTAAAGATGCTAGCTGTACTGATATAATTATGCGTTTAACGTTAATTGCAATGTAGTTACAATACGTCTTGGGAGGGGTGAAATAACAAATAAAATAAATCTAACCACTTCAAAGATGGTAAAATACGAATGTACAACAAAATAGGTATTCGCTACAATTTATGTAAATGTACATCTGTACTACCATGCAAGAATGTAGTTCAAATATATTATAAAAACACAAACAACCGAACGAACGAAAAAAGTTACAAAAAAATAAGGTTTTTCTTATACAAGTATAAAAAAATATAACTACTCGTTTGTAAAGTGACATTGCGCCGAAAAACATGAACCGAAAAAATTAAAACATAATACCAATGTATTGTTACCAGCTAAAATAAATATGTTCGATATTTTGGAAATCGAATAATTATTATCAACTATGAAAAAAAATTCAAGACGTTTATAGTCTATGTATTGAAATAAATAATAAACACACGGTGGTAGTTGGTTTATTATTTTTAACAGCGATTTTTTTAATTAAAAAAAACAGTTAAAATATTCAGAACAGAACAGAAACCGTTCTATTAACTCGTTAGTTAAAGGAGCCTACATAAGTAAAATACATATTGGTGTAATACTTTTAAATTCATTGTTATTATAAACAACAAAGTTTCTATCAGCACCAGATCGAGAAGTCTCGCTTCTTTCAATTATTTTTTTTATATAACATAAACAAAAAACCGTGACTGAAAATAAAATCAGTGTGACCACATATTCGAGGATAAAATTGTAGAATAATAAAACGGATTGTTGCTCCACACGCCAGTAGACACTAAAGACCCAGAGTGTATTTTTAAAGGTATTCAACCTGATTCGGTTTATCTACAATTTGTCTATCTATTTTATTGTTTTGCTTTTCTGTTAAAACTAATTTTCAATACGGTTTTATCACGCGGTAAAATAAAATAAATTATGATTTATGTGTTGAACCAAATGTTTTAAATGTTAACAGCCGATAAGACAGATATAAAATTTAACCAAAAACAACGTGTACAAATGACTATGTAGCATTGTAGCACATAGTCGTTTTCTGTGTATTGTACACGGGATTTGTTAAAAAATGTGTATATTTTGTTTTTGTAAATAGTCAAATGATAAAACGGTTGAAAAAAACATATTATGACGTCAAATTTGTATACATAACGTTGGGTATAAGACAGGATAACGCGCCTCTTAGCATAATGTGCCGGTGCCAACTTGACATAATGAAACACAATGGTACATAACTTTTGTTTACGTTAATATTTTTCCATTCAGTTTAATGGAACAAAATGGACCTTATCATACAATTAACAATACAAAAATTGTAAAAATTTAATGTTTATTTGAAAAATAACGGTTTTGGTGTCATAGAAATCGTTTTGACGTATTACATTTTTTAACAAGTTATTATTCATTTCAGACTCAAAAACTGTTTGGTTTTGACCAGCTAATCATAATCGCCCCAAATCATTGCTGAAACCTCTGCTGGTGTCCTTGTTTTCGCTTTACTTGCCCTATTAGCAGCCCAGTCTTTTACAGGCACGTTACGGTTTTTGCTTATGGCTGTAAATAATTCACTGTATCGTTTAAAATCTATGGGACCTGAAATAAAAAAAAACAACAAATATTTAACAAAGCAACGAAATCCCATTTAACACGTTTACAGTTTAACACAAGTTTTGGCCCAAATAAACGGCTAACCTAACCTTTAAATTAAAAATTAGTCAGAAAGTAGAAGTACTATTGTTGCCGAAAAACTGTTTTTAACTGATATTTTAAATTTGCACACAACACTTTACAGTTTAACAAAAAAAATCAGATCCTACTAATATACTTATTTAGAGGGATCATATTAATTTTTTGTACGGTTTTTATATTTTATTATTTTTTTGAGGAGTAAAATTTAAAACTTTAATCAATTTCAAATAAAAAAAAACGCAAGTACTGCTTTTAAAACATCCAAGTATTGTTTATTTGTATGTTAAGGACAAATTAACAAAAAATACATTATTTAGTTTTTATAAATTCGAATATGGATACACCCTTTAAACAAATCACTTTACAGTTTCACATCAAATGCAAAAAGAATATTATTAAATTTAAATTAAGTATTAATAATGTTTACCTTCCATGAAATAGGGTAGACCGAAAACGTCATTTACGCATGTCCTATCGCGTCTGTTTTTTCCCATGTACAAGCAAAAATTACCATATGAAATTGGACTATCTAGACATTCACCCAGCCATCTTCTACAATTATCGTACGAAGCTTTTAGAATCTGAAATTTTTTTTTTTAAATCATTAGGTATACTAATTATTATACTATAATTATTTTCTGAACAAAAATTGCTATAAAGGTAAACTTAATATTATGAATAACTCAACTAATATTTGAAAAGACTAATCTAAAAATAATATGAAAAATTACTTTATCGTCGGAATCTTCGATGACGTACTTATCAACAAAAGTTGGATCCTTAAACATTTAAACATTTTAATAATTATTTGATCAAAGATTTTTTAATCATAAATAATTAAAGTACTATTTGTAATACATTTTTCAATCTAAAATAAAACATTTATTATATTAAATTTATAATTAAACGCAAACGGTTAAATCGTGACAAGAATATTTAAAATAACATTAAAAAATAAAAATGTTTATCAAGCAATACTAAAGACTGATTTTGATTATACAAATATGTATGTCATAGGTTCAGTTTTATATCATTAGACTAAATAAAATATAATTTCCTGAACAAAAATTGTTTTAAGAAAACTTAAGCTGTATATTATATATGACTCAGCAAAATATTGACAAAAAACTGGTAGTTTAAAGGAATAATCTAAATGTAGTATCAATAATTACTTCATCTTCAGGATCTTCCTCAAAGATGACATTCACATCGACAAAAGTTGGTTCCTGGAAAGTATAACTAGTATCAGCTATAACTTCAGTTTGGTCTGGAGTAAGCGGTAGCACATCCTTAACATCTGTAACCACATCTAAAATTTCATTTTCATCTTCCAGTACGCAATTAGCAGCTAAAATAATAGAAATTAATAAAACGCAGGACTTGAACATTTTACTATTTAATGAACTCCAAACTAAAGTTAAACTAAAAAACAATACGAATATTTTCGATTCAGATACATAATTATAGACTTTGTACAGGTACACAGATGTTGTTGAATTTTTTTTTCAACTGCCATATCAATTGATTTTCTACGAAGAAAATAAATTAAATTTTTCACAAAATCCCGTCTACAATATACAAACCGTGACTGTGCTGCTCATTGCGTGTGATTTGTCACGTTTTCTTATCTGAACAACTGTCTTACCTTATGCAGGCCTCTTAAAATTTAAAACATTCGAAATTTATTACAAAGTAAAAAAAAATTTGTACAACACAAAAATTGGGTTTTGGTAATTATTTTGAAGGATCACAAAAAGATTAATGAAAGAAATAATACAAATTAGCGAACATACTTTTTTTTTTTTTGAGAAATAATGCTTCGGCAACTTCGGCCATTGGCTATAGTTTTATTTATTTATTTTACAATACTTTGGTTAAATCAGACAAAGAAAATAGAAAAATCAAAAAACATGATGTTTAAAATAAATGATTTATTGATTTTTTAAGGTACGGTTAGGTTTTAAAATAAATAAATACAAATTTATCTTATAAGTACATTTTTTTTATAAAGAATAGGCTAAACATCAAAATAACTTCCAACAATGGTATCCACTCTAATATTAAATTGGTCGGACGACCATCTCTTTGTAATCGTCCACTAGAAATCGGTCTGTTTACTGGTTTTTATAAATGGGAAAAAATGATGAGACATGGTGAATAAGTAGTTTTTTTTTAAATACTTACATAAAAAATGGATCCACATAGTATTATAGTAACAAGAAGGTATACTTATACATGTTTGTATATTTTTTGTTGCGATAATACTATTTCTTAATGTATAAATATAACAAAGATACCATGCGATTATTATTACAGATATTCTACTTTATTTTCATATAATAGAGAAGAAAAAAATAGGCCTCTCAGAGGCTACCATTGATTTCTTTTTCTTCACATTTTTTGTGTACTGAATAATGCTATACTGTTATTGTGTTGCTCAAATTTACTTCTTATTCAATAACCAATTCGTATATAGCCATTTTATATTTTTTCCTAACCATTACATAAAGTTTACTTTATTTACATATAATGGAGTAGAAAAAAAATTGGGCTCTTAGGTTTACCATTATTTAATTTTTCTTCAAATTTTAACGTTATATTATATAGTTGCTCAAATTTGCCCCTTTTTAAATCACCAATTAAATTATAGTAATTTTAAATTTTTATAGATAAAATTAACAATGCACAAATTGTAAGTAATCAGTGTTTATTCAAACAAATAGTTAATTTGGTACCATAGATTTTGTTTTAAAGTAGGTATTGTTTTTGAAGCATTTTATTAACATTAATTAACATGTTGTTATAAGACTGTGAAAAATTATCTGTTTTGCTTTCTTGTGACCTTTATTTTTGACAAGCTAATCACGTTTTCCCTTAGGTAACGACATAAACTTAATTAGTGACCTTGTTGACGCTTTACATTTTCTATCTTTTGCCATTTTTCCTACAGAAACATTATTTTTCTTGCATATGTGTCTAAAAAGTCCACAATACAGTGTAAAATCTATAGGACCTAAAACAAAAAAACCAAATTATATAATTTCAAAATAAGAAAATCCAGTGACACGGCAATAACCCGGAGCTAAATAAAACGAAAAGCGTAGCGTTCACTGTCGTGAATACTATACACGAGTTATAGAAATCCCATGCCCCTGGATACCGACCATTTTTAACATAAAGGAGTTTTGTATAGGCAATATTTAAGAAAAAAGTGGTTTTAATCAAAATCTCAATTAATTTACCGGCTAATTTGTATAAGCTTCATGGTATTATTTTTAATTTAAATCATTTTGTCTACGAGTAAAAGCCATTTTAGTTATAATAGTACATTTATTATATTACATTTGTTGATCTTATAAAGTTTTTGGACGATTATTAGGGTTTTTATTATGTTGACTTTTTTTGTTTGTGTTAAGGAAAATTAACAAAAGATATACATTTTAATTACGATTGAGAATACTCCCTTTAAACAAACTGCTACACGGTATCGCATGGAAGAGATAAAGAATAATCTTAAATGATAAATCAAAAATAGATAATGTTTACCTTGAATTAAACCAGGATTTTTATCGTAGTTCTTTGACATTCTGTCAAAGGCATGTGGATTGTTTTTGAAGAAATCATCTAATACTGTATCACTTTCGTTTAATCCCATGTAACAACAAAACCCACTCAAGCCAATATTAGCATCTAGAGGTTCATTCAGCCATATTCTACAATCATCAAACGAATCTTTTAGAATCTGAAATTTTGTTTACTTATATCAGTATACCAATAACAATACTTATAATCTTAAAACTTCTTACCAATTAAAGATTAATCAATCAAAAATAATTAAAGTATTGTTAGTGATTAGTTTTTTAATAATTTCTAAACTAATTATTAACCTATAATTTATTTTAAGTTCATGACTAATTCAACCGTTATTAACAGTTATAGCAGAAATTTGTTTAAATTAATCATCATTTAATAAAAATTGTACTTAACAATAAAAATTCTGAAGAATAATGTATTTAATATCCATATGAATAATATGAAATGTATAATTATTTTTTAAGATGAAAAAATATTTTAGTGCAACTTGGAAGTATCTTGTACTAATTAATAGCCAATTAAATAAAGGTTCAAATTTTATTTAAGATTTATTTTTGAAAATGTTTTAATTTAGTTTTTTTTTAATTGATCAACGGACTTAAAGCTGTACTGATAATATACATACAATGACTTATAGAACCACAATATTTATAACAATTCGATTTTAAATATATTTGACTAATACTTAATATTTATGCTAAAGAGTTGAATTGTAAGTTTTTAAGCTAAAATAATAATAGTTTCCTAGATAAAAAGGGCCATATAGGAAATCATTTATCTGTATCATATAAGTGGACCAGCAAAACATTTTCAAAAAAAGCCAATAGTTTTAATGTAACAGTCTAAATAATTTTTTTTTTTTAATTACTTCTTCTTCAGTTTTTCCCGTTGGATTATAACTTGTAGTAGCTTCATCATCACAACCTTTTAAAATATTATCTTCTGTTTGTTCCGGACGTAGACAAGCAGTCTGGTCTAGTGTCCTTAATGCCGCTTTAGTTTTCCTGTCTGTTGCCCAGAATTTTACAGTAACGCCACGTTGGCTGCATATGTATTTAAAAAGTTCACTAAAATCTTTTAATTCCAAATGATCTAAAACAAAGAAACAAAAATATTTAATTGAAATATAAATAATACATACAAAGGTATTTTACAGGGAAAAAAATCTGGATTACATTTTTTTTTTGTTTCAAGGGCTGCAAAATTATTTTTTAGCTGATTTAGTAAATTTTAACATAAACATGATTATCAGACTATGTCAGTATATTTATGACCATCTATTTTAAATAATTTTATGTGAATACTCCCTTAATCTGTTTCGCTTCGCAGACAAAGAGAATAATATTAAATGATAAATGAAGCATTGATAATAATGTTTACCATGAGGTATATTTGGATTGTTTTTGTAGTAATCTAGCATTATTTTTAGATCGCTATTGTTTTTTCCCATGTACATCCAAAACCCAGCACTTGGAACTTCAGTATCTAGAGAGCCGCCTATCCATCTTCTACAATCATCATACAAATCTTTTAGAATCTGAAATATATTTTATTAATATCAATATACCAATAGCAAACGGCTAGTACAGTAAATATTACAACCTATTATGTTTTATTGTACCCAAAATAAAAAATAATTATTTATTTAAACATTATTTGATTGTTTGCTGTACAACACAAATATTCTTTAGTTCAAAGTCAACGACTACAGCAAAGCTTAGGCTAATAGACCCCACTTTTTTGTTACAACTTGTTACAAGCTTACAAATTTTTGCATAGAATAATATGTCTAGTAAATATTTGCCTATACAATGCGCCTTACTAAATCACAGTAGCAGAGTTCCTTAACAAACAATATAATTTATTAAAAACTTATTTTGATTATAAAGACATTAATTGTATATCCTTGAGCATAAGTAGTATTAGTTTTCAGAACAATAATAACTATATAGGTAAACTCTAACCTATATATTACAAAGAAATCAGCAAAACATTGTCAAAAAAACTAATAGGTTTAAAAGTATGTCCTAAAAATAATATTATCAAAAATTACCATATCTTCAGTTTGGTTCGGTTCATTTTCATCTTCAGAATCACCCAGTACTGTATTTCCAGCTAAGATAATAAAGAGTAATAAAATAGAGAACTTAAAGAACATTGTACTGTTCTATGAACTATATAAACCATATGTACTACATATAAGACAAAACTATTGAATTTTAACGTTTATGAAAGCCTTTTTATATAAAAATTAAAAATAAAATACAATTTTCCACGTCTACATAATTATAACAAATAAGCTATTAAATTTCTTAAATGCGTCATTAATATTTAAATTACATGTTTGAAAAAGTATTTAAATAAGTATCTAAGGCCTAAGCAAATATATGGGCTGTATATAAATCAAACGACCATATCGATGTCTCTGACGCAAAAATGTGTAATAATTGCGTTATTAAAAATATTATAGAAAATTAACTAGAAAATATGTGTTGCAACAACATTATATATATTTAAAACAAGATCAAGCAAATATAATATTTTACAAAATTTAGGTTTTAGCTATTTACTTAAAGGAGCACAGACAGTTTTGTAATAGTATTTTTCATATAGAAGTTCTTAATTCGGGATAAATAATCGTAAGATTATAATAATCGGGATAAATATCATAGCAACGGCATTCACCTTATTACTGTAAAGCAAACTGCTATCTCTAGATTTAAACACTTTCACAACAGTCTCTTAAATCATCCAAACCCTCTTATTTGAAATCCGCCACTGGGCGGTTTCTCCACAAGTTATTGAAGTTTTTTACGTATATAATATCTTCTACCACAAATGCTTATTGTACACTTTATACAGATTGTATTGAGAAAAAAAAAGAAATATCATAGCATTGATTGTTTTTGGCAAACACTATTAACCTGTATATTACACTTTTTAAACATAATTTAAAAATTGATAGAATTTAACACTATTTAAAATATTATTCGACAAATATATAAATATAATATCTTCTAATAATTATAAATGATATTAGTCGTACCAATTTTTTTAAATGTCAATCCGATGCCAAATAAATAATATGTACACGTTTCTGTTACATTCTTTTAAATTACTGCCTTTAGAACATTTTCAACTTATAATATTATAGAATTTACTTATATTTTTATAATTTTATTAAACCCTTAAACATTAATTCCATATATCCATTTATTTGCCCATATACTATTATAATATCAGCGAAAACAAAACAATTCCCTGTAGTTCACCTTCGATAGACCTAAATGTTGTTGATTTGAATTGGAAAACATATACCTACGATTTTTTAATAGTGTTTAAGTACATTCTCGTCGTTCGCTGTACAACTTAAGTATTTGTGATCACGTGCAGTGATGTTTTACAATAGTAACTGTGTAATGTGTGCAACATAATTTAATTTAAAAACTGTTACAGACGTTTTTAGGAATTTCTTAAGTCCGATTTTACAAATATTTTAAAAAAATTGTTTTAATAATTATGAATACTTTCAACTATATTATATTGTACAATTTTCGTTTTCATTTCGAGTTTTCGCATTATTCCGTCAAAAATATAGTTTAAATTATTTATTACTCTTTGTTTGCTTTAATCGCTGGCACGTGTAGGTGTTACTTTAGTTCGAACTTGATATAATATCAGCTTAAAAAATAATGCATAAATATACGTATATTTTATTGTTTGTTTTTTAAAATAATTCTAATAAATAAGGTTTTTATAACTGTTCAAATAAGGTACAACTGCAAACATATATATATATATATATATTAAACGTATTATGTATTGATGAAAACGCCAAAGACGAACAAACTTTTGGAGCACCCCCCCCCCCTCCGCAGAACTTTTTGAATCTTACCCTGTATGTATGGATAAAAAAAAGTTCATAAACTTTTGGATTTGAAAAGAGGTGAAAAGTCGATAGAATGGGGGAAAAGAACTACATCAATCAAAATGGTTAGAATAATTATGAAGTAAAAATAAGATTAATTTTTACTTTCACATAATTCTATTATGTTCTAGACATAATACGGGTTTGAAAGTTTCTTTGTAAGTCCAGATCTAACTTATAGTAAGTTATCAATCATGTACTTCATCATAGGACACAAGTAACTATAGTACTGTACTCATTATCCTTATTAGGCGTTATACTTAGTTAAATAAATCATTTTCAATAATTTTATATTTTTAATACATTTTATTATATTCTTATTAGGACATTACAAACAAAGATTTTACAAAAAGTAATTTACATTAGGTATTTTCTCAACATGTTATTATAATATTCTGATTAAATGTCCATTTTTTTTCTGCTTGTAACCTTTATCTGTAACCAGCAAAACTTAAACCTCTCGTTCTAAACATAAAGTCTGACACTATTCTTGATGAGGCTTTTCTTTTTATACGTGCTACACAGTCTTTTACAGTTAGGTCACGTATACTGCATATGTGTTTAAAAAGTTCAACATACAGCTTTAAATCAATATCAGCTAAAACATAAAAAATATAAATGTTGAATTTATTTATAAATTATATACATATATATATTATATATAAATCTTAAATTATATTATGCGATTGGTAAATGATAAATAAAGAATAGTTCATTTTTACCTTGTATTTTACTGGCCTCTTCATTGTTCTGGAAGTAGTCTCTTAAGATATCATCTTTCCCTTTGATTTCACCCATATAAGACAAAAAATCAAGCGTTTTAATAGTACTATTTAGAGATTTGCCCAGCCATGTTCTACAGTTGTTGTACGAATCTTTTAGAATCTGAAATATAATAATAATAATAATAATAATATTTCATTAATATCATTATACTTCATTCCAAAGATAATGCTTTTTTTTACTTAATCGTCTGAATAATACCTATTCTAATCATAGACCTATAAAGATAGGTCTATATCTAATAAGATAGATTTCTTTATAGGTCTATGATTCTAACAGTATATCAGTAATAGATTATAAAACAACAATATTCAAACGTTATTTTGATTATAAATATTTTTTACTAAGATTTCAATTGTAAGTCTTTAAGCTAAAATAATTATAGTTTACTAGACAAAAATGGCTATATAGAACGTCTTAAACCAGTATATTATAAACGGTTTTGTAAAACGTTGACAAAAAACCAATTGTTTTAAAATACAGATGTAAAAATAATTTTAAAAAATACTTCTTCTTCATTTTGTTCCGGTGCAGTATAACTAGTAGTAGCTTTATTTTCATCGTCAGAACCATCCTCTACATTATCATCAGTTTGGCCAAGTCCAGTAAAATATTGTACATCTATAAGTTCTATAGCCTTATTTTTATCTTTTAATACACAATTAGCAGCTATAATAAAAGATAGTAAGAAAACAGATAACCTTAACAACATTGTTTTTTTTTCGTGTTTTTGTAAAAACTTGTAATAATAGCTTAGAGTAGCGTAGGTTACACTAGTAAACTGACAATATTTTCGAATCAAGTTGTATACTTTACTATTGTTGTAGATGTATACACAGATGTCTCGATATACTTTTTTTTAACTGTCATATAATTTTCTTAATTTTATAAGAAAGTGTATTGAGTTTTTTTGAAAACCCTGTGGAGAACATAATATACGAGTATACGTGTACTTGTATATTATGTATACTAAAGTCATTTTTTGTACACTTTGTCTTTCAGAAATGTTAATATCTATCTTAAACACTATGTGAACTTACCTATTTAAATTTAAAACATTTGGGATTACACTTAAATATAATATTATGTTATCCGCGTGACATTTGTTGTATGTTTTGTTGAGGATGTGCATTTATATTATTTATTGAAATACAAAAATAAGCATATATAAAAATATATCATTCACTTATTGCAGGTATTTTTCGTTTTTATACATATGTATGTTGTAATGTTAATTTTTCTTTACATCTGTGTGTGCACTTAATAATGTTATACTGGAGAGTTGCTCAAATTTGCTTCTTTTCGAATTACAAATTTGATTATAGTTGGTTTTTAATTTTTTAACATTTTTTCTTTTGATAACCTTTATTTTCGACTAGCTAATCATGATCTCCTCGAGGTAACAAAGTAACCTCATGGAATGTCCTCGATGCCGCTTTATTTTTCCTATTTGCCACCCATTCTTTTACAGTAACACCACGTTTGCTGCATATGTATTTAAAAAGTTCACTATATCGGTTTAAATCTATAGGACCTATAACAAAGAAACAACATTTTACAACGATTTTACAAAATAATGAAACTGAAAGTAAGCTATCACTTTTATATAAACGCTTCGAAGCGAATATTTGGATAGTAAGAATCCAGTGCAGTCTAAACCAAACACAGTACAAACCAGCACATTAAGAAAGTGGAAAAAATAACATAAGATATATTTTTTAATTGTTATAATTTCGAATGAGAATAATCCCTTCGAACAAACTGCTTTACAGTAATTACAGTTTATTCAATAATAAAAATATAAAGTATAGATAATGTTTGAAGACTCTTATTAAATGATAAATAATGCATAAAATATGTTTACCTTGGTATACACCTGGATTGTTGATAAAGTAATCGTCTAATCTATAATAATCGCTCCGGTTTTTTCCCAAATACAACCATAACTCACTTTTTGAAATAGTACTATTTAGAGATCTACTCAGCCATTTTCTACAGTCATTGAACGAATCTCTTAGAATCTGAAATGAAAAAATTAATTTTTCAATTATTTTTGACTTTATGTAAACCTAACTAATTAAACTTTTAAATACTTAAATTGTATAAATTATATAAGTAATAAATTTGGTCAACATTTTTTTTGAAATTTTAGCATAAATATATAAAATTTAAGACGTATTTAATTTGATTTTGCGTAAATTGTGTTTCTGTATTGAAGTTGTATAATTTTTATTTTTTTTATGCAATTCTAAATTATGTAAATTATTGCATTGAAAGGCGTTTATATGCAAATAAATTATTAGGGCCCAATTAGAATTTTTAATGTAACTTTATTAACCATTTTTTTTAACAAATAATATTAAAAACTTATTTTGATTTAAATATATGTATGCCAAAGATTTTTATTTTAAGCCTTTAAGCTAAAATAATAATAGTTTCATAACAGTAAATGATTCAACAAAACGTCAACAAAAAATAATAGTTTTTTTAAAGATTAGTCTAATATCATTATTATCAAAAATTACTTCATCTTCAGCATCTCTTAGTGGATCTTCCACTAAGATGACGTGCTTATCTTCAAAAATTTCGTCCGGTTCAGTATAACTAGTAGAAGCCTCATTTTCGTCGTCAGTATCTCCTAGTACTGTATTAACAACTAAGATAATATATAGTAATAAAATAGAGAACTTAAAGAACATTGTTCTGTTCTATGAACTGTACAAAATGTTAAACTATAAGACAAAATTAAAAGAATGATTTTTAACGTTTATGAAAGACTTTTTATACAGAAATGAAAAATAAAATAAAATTCTACTTGTACATGAGTGTAATAATTAAGTTTGCTATTCAATTCATTAAACGTGTCATTATTATTAAAATTGCATATTTGCACAAGTATCTAAGCAAGTATATTAACTATTTATAAATCATATAAACATATGGATGTCTTAAACGCACATGTGTTTATAGACGTATTCTTAGCATTTTACAGAAAATAAGATAGAAAATAATTGTTGCAATTTTATAGCATTAAAAAGTAATGCAAATTTATTGTATTATTGCACCAAAAAAACATTTAAATTGCTCTAAAAAAAAAATCAGAAATCAACATTTAAACAAAAATGTCTTGTTTATTAGTTATAACAAAATTAAAGAGAAAAAAATATATATTTTCCATCTGATGATCCATCTGATGTAAGATACTCATTTTCTTAGAATCATGAATATTTTGAAAAAAGGTTCTTTTTTTTATACTTATAGGTACATATTTTACTATATTTTTTAATACTTAGAACATTTTTATTGTCATCCCTTATACGTACGAGAAGAATAGACTAAGTTTTTTCTAATAGGAACATAATATGTTTTAAACGCCCACCCTAGGTGGAGTGAACTACTCTTTTCTCTATTTCTCATTTTTAAGTGTAGTTTCAAAACAAACAGAGTTTCTAAATTAAAAATTGAATTAATATCAAATACTTTTGTTTTATTTCTTAAATTTAAGGGCGAAGGTGTGTTTTATTGGAACGTAACATTTAGTACTTAAAAAAAAGTCATAATATATTGTTTTTGATTCTTTCGAAATTAGTTTGATAACATAAATATAAGGTTTAATATTTTACATAATTCAGTAACTAAAACAAATATTACACCCCAAACGATTTGTCCCATTGTTAAAGTAATTTGAACATTATTATATGAAACCAACGTCAAACGTATGAATTTCTACTTTTTTAATTGCTGTCTTTATAACATTATTTTCTTAACATTTTTTTTTTGTGTCTATGCGAGCTTAAGTCATAAACTCACAACAATTCCAAATCAGATATACTATTTTAAGTTTTGTTTACACAGATGTCTTAATATTTTTTCCAGCTGCTATATTATTTGATTATCCATAAAAAATGTTTATTACCTTTCTAATAGAACCCCGTGTACAAATTACAGACAGTGATTATTCATTATCTTTTTTAAAATTAAATATTTGTTGTTATGACTACATTATGTGGTGCTTAAATTTAAAAATATACGTTTTTATACTAAATCAATAAATTAATAAATGTATTGTCCACCTGACAATAAAATATATGTTGGAAAAAGTATTAATATATATATATTGAAAAGTTTAGTAAGATGCTTTAATATTTTTTAAAATCAATAACATATCCATGTTAAAACAGTTGATACGACTCGGCAGCTTATATGAAGACCAATAGATTTACTTTCAGTCCAGATCTTAGAAAAAGTAGTCTTAAAAAAAATCCAACCTCTTATCAATCACCAACACTATCTACCCAACTTCTAGTTCAGCTTCAGATCAAGACACTCATATATCATAAACTTATCGAGTAATCGATCATATAGCTGAGTCTCCCGAACAAAGCAATATTGCTCTGGTGTTGTTTTGAACTCGGCACAAACATTCGATACAGTTTGGCACGATGAATTGGGAACCACATCTTAAGGAAAAGCGAAAACAGCTTAAAAATCTCCTGCATACGATCAAAACTCCGTGTAAATTTTACTTAGTTATTTTACGAGTAGTTAACGAGGGATTTACCAGGAGTGACAAGCATGAGATTACGCACATCTTTACAATTGTTTACACTTGTTTGCAATCGAAAATAATAATAAATCACAAGATGACAATATTCTCGAGTCAGACATACTAATTTGAGTTTTATTCACACAAATGTCTTAAATATTAATAAAACCACATGTACAAATTACAGACAGTAATTACGCATTGTCTTATTTAAAATATAATATATGTGTTATGACTTCGAGTAACTCTTAAAATAACTAATACATGTCAGTATACATAAATGAATTCAATTATCCGTCTGAAATCAATATGCTTGTTATGAATTATCGCAACAACCTATGTTTGCTGAAAGAGGGAAAACAAATAGTTAACGATTCTTAAATTTGCACACAATGGAAAAAATCGGTGTTTATTTAAAAAAAAAACTATCTATTTATTTTATTTTTAAATGGTTTTTAACCTTTTTTAACATGTTATTTTTAGATTATGAAAATTTGTTGGTTTTTTTCTTGTAACCATTAACCTAACCATTATCCCTGACCGACTAATCGCGATCCTCCCATCTTAACGTTAATGCCTCACTGTATGTCATTGCTTCCGCTCTAATTTGTCTATAGTCTGCACAAAGTTTTACACCAAGGCCTTTTTTGTTGCATAGATGTTTAAAAAGTATACCATATAGACGTAAATCTATAACAGCTAAAACAAAAATGTTTAATTTAAAAATAAATAATATATTATACTTTTAAGTTTACAATATTGTCATCATAAGAATATAGTGTAGCGCGGTTGTCACCTGAAATTCAATGCTTCACAGTTTCGCATCGAAGATAAAAATAGTATCATTTTTTGATAAATAAAGTTTAGTTAATATTTACTTTCTTTTGTCAATGCCAAATTATTGTCCTGGAAGTATTTTCTTGTGATATTAACATCAGTTATGTTTTTCCCCATATACACCAAGAAATTGTTAACTGTAATAGTCCTACTTAAAGATTTGCCCAACCATTCTCTACAATCATCGAACGAATCTTGTAGAGTCTGAAATTGTTTTTTGTAAATATCAGTACACGTCTTTATTAAATAATCCTGATTGTTTAGGTCATGATTAATTTGTCTGTTGCTTACAATTATAGGCGTTGCCTTATTATCTGCACATTTAAAACTTAAATGTATAAGTCGTGATTTCAGTCAATATCTTATTTCAATTTCTAGCAGAAATCAATTAAATTGACCATTAATTAATAAAAATTATATTTAACTATAATATTGCTATGGAAAAATAAATATTTTGTATCCACGTAAATTATATGAAATATAAAATGAAATGTTAAATTATTTATAATGATAATTTTTTTTTAGAAAATGTCACGTGCTAATTAATAGTTAAATTAATTAAATATTATGTGTTTTTTGGGAGGAAATATGAAAAAACATTTTTAACAAACAATAGGCACAATAAGTATTTTTTAACATGAATATTTATGATAAAGCTTTTAATAAGAAGTCATTAATCTAATTTGATTTATCATAACACTGATATATAACTTTAAAATAATAGTTTAAACAAAATATTAATAATTACATAATTTTCATCTTCGGTTTCTCCCAGTATGGAATTAGCAGCTATGATAAAAAATAAAAACAAAATAGAGGACTTGAAGAACATTGCATTGAACGATAAACTAAAGTTACACTATAAGACAAAACGAATGTTTTTACCATACTTGAATGCCTGTTTTATATAGAATTGAAAAACAAAATTATATGAATAAACATATACGTCAAAAATTATGATTCCTTTTAAACATTTTTAGATGTGGCAATATTGTTGATATAACATATTTGCACATCTTTATAAACAAGTACCTTCACAAGTATATTTGTTGTATATTATAATTATATATACATATATCGATGTGTCTATCAAATAGGTGTGTAAGGGAATTGTTTTATAATTATACAGTAAATTAATTTGAAAATGCGTGTTGCGACATCATTACCAAGGCTTGAACCATTTAAACCTATTCGCATTAAAAAGTGATTGAAATTAATTAAATGATTGCAACAAATATAACTTTAAATTGCACTAAAATGGCCGAATCAACACAGTAAGAAAGTATTAAAGTGAGGTGCAGCGTTTACAAATTAGCTTCAAAGCGTTTATTTTATACTGGTTTTATCACTTTTATTTATAATAATTTCTGTAGACCTGTGACCTCTCCGTGTCCCCTTTGATTCCATTATGCCTCGACCCTACTGTACTGGTCCTCTCGGATAAAACCACTTGTTTTTTTATGTGAGTAATTGTTATAATTTGTATGACACATAGTCCCACAAGTCCAAGTGGAAAAAAATGACTTTTTATATAGGAGTAAACTAATAAGAGTTTATGACGCTGTAGTTTTTATAATTTAAAACATTTTTGTTTGCATACTTGTTTGCATACTTGTTTGCAATCGAAGTTAATAATAAATCACAAGTTGACAACATTCTCGAATCAGACACACTAATTTAAGTTTTGTTCACACGGATGTCATAATATTTTTTTTTAAAACTTCTATATCATTTGAACATCCATATAAATGTTTATTACATTTTTTGATTACGTATTGTCTTATTTAAAATTTAAGACTATGTGTGGTTTTTTGTGAACCTTTTCAACGTTAAAACATTTTTGATAACCAATACTTATACTACATTAACCGCAAGACAATTCTTACTTAAAAAATATTTTTAAAAACTAGCAAGCCGATAAAATAAAATACAAAATTTCGGTCTCTGAAACCTTTGAACCTTATTGAGCTGTTAAAATTTTCGAAAATCATGAAAGTATTGATTACAAAAAAATTGTATTATTTAAAAGTTATCAAATCAGGATACCATATCATATTTAATGTTAACCAAAGTTTTAATTAATAATTGGATTTTATAATTAATATGTATATTTTTAAATCTCTTAGGCATCATTTAAACACATCTTTCAATAACATATGTAATAATACAAAACTTGTTACCATTCGATTAATTTGTATTTTAGTGAAAACCAGACTCTGGTTATTAATTATCACAACAAATTATATTTGCCCAAAGAGGGAAAATAAATAGTTAACGATTCTTAAATTTGGTTGAGATTTATCAAAAAAATATGAAATTTAAGACACATTTTTTGTGATAGATAATACTAACATTGCACACAATAATCGGTGTTTACTTAAAAAATAAACGAATTTAATGGTGTCGTACAATTACATTTTATTTATTACATTTTTAATTGTTTTTTAACATGTTCTTATAAGATTATAAAATCTTTGACCGACTAATCGCCATCCGCCCATTTTAACGCTTTAGCCTCATTATATTTCATTGTTTCCGATTTAACTTTTCTAAATTCTGCAAAGAGTTTTACATCAAAGTCTTTTTTGTTGCATAGGTGTTTAAAAAGTGTTCCATATAGAACTAAATTTATAGCATCTAAAACAAACATTTTGAATTAGATAATAAATAATATATATTTGTAAATTTACAAATTGTCATCATAAGAGCAAGGTGTAGCGCAGTTGTCACCTCAGTTATCGATGAAACACTCAATTTTAACTTCGATGTGAAGTCAAAAAGGTATTGTGCTTACAAAGATGTGTATTTATTTTTATAAATTTGTCTCTGGACTGACGATATTTCTAAAATAACCGCTGAATTCTGCGGTCAAACTATTTTTTTTTTTTTTTTAATTCCCAACAAAGAGGAAATTCAATACTTCACATTTTTGCATCGAAGATAAAAATAATATTAATAAATTATATTTAGTTAATCTTTACTTTGTTTTGCCAAGTCCTCTTTATTGTCCTGGAAGTAATCTCTTATGATATTAATATCAATTTTTTTTTTCCCCATATACACCATAAAATCGTCAATTGTAATAGTACTACTCAGAGATTTGCCCAACCATCTTCTGCAATCATCGTACGAATTTTTCAGAGTCTAAAATTTGTTTATAAATATTAATAGAATTTATTACAATAAATATCCTGATTACAAAATTTAAATTCTTATATTTTCATTTTTTATCTATTACGACGACGTTTTTAATCACGAACAATGCAAATAATAACCGTGATTAGTTTTCCAATCATTATGAAACATTAAAACTTATTATTAATGCTAATAATAAGCAAAAAAAAAATGGTATATTTCATTTATTAATAGGTTGTTTACAGACTAATTTAAATGTTTCATATTTTGGGTTTTAACCCATTTTTTGAGTTGCAATTAAAACGTTTATGATATTAAGTTGATCATATATAATATTTATCATAAAGATTTTGTATTTAACGTAACACTGACATAAATTTAAAAATAAATGATAATAATTACTTCATTTTCATCCTCGGGTTCTCCCAGTACACAATTAGCAATTACGATACAGTATAAACACAAAATAGAGAACTTGAAGAACATTGTGTTCAATGTACTATAGACTGAAGTTAAACTGTGAGACAAAACAAATTATTTTTACCTTCTTTGATTGCCATTTTATATAGCGGTGAAATATAAAATAAAATTATACGAGTAAATAAATATGTCAAATAGGACTGTTATTGAATTTTTCAAATGAATTATTATTTAAACTATTACTATAACTCATTATAAGTTAAACTGCATGTTTACACAAGTATATTGTTGTAATATACAATAAATATTGAATTTATTTATCATAAGTATTTTATGAAACTGTATGCACAGAATAATTTGCACCCATGTATAAATTATAATATCACAAATATCTTAAAGAAAAGTCAACACATATATTACTCATACTTGAAGAACATTGTGTTGAACTATAAACTACATTTACACTGTAAGACAAAACGAATGTTGTTTGCCATATTGGAATGCCTGTTTTATATATGAATAAATAAATACATAAAAAATAATGGTTCCTCTATTATACAGTAATAATACAGTAATGTAGTTTGAAAATGCATATTGCAATATCATTACTTGGCTGGAACGATTTAATGCTATAAGCATTAAAAAGTGATTTTAAATTGATTCCATTATTACACCAAATATAACTTTATATTACACTAAAATGGCCTAATAGTCGCGGTCGGGGCAGTTTACTGGGTTATAGAAATTATTACAACTGAAAGTGATATTATCACTTTCGCATAAATGCTTCAATGTGCTTCAGTAGTATGTATTTTCAAACCAGTAAAGTCCAAACCAAGCACATTATAAATCAGCACAGTAACAAAGTATTTAAGTGAGGTGCAGCGTTTACAAATTAGCTTCAAAGCGTTTATTTTAAACTGGTTTTATCACTTTTATTTATGATAATTTCTGTAGATCTGTTACCTCTCCGTCAAACTATGCTTTAATCTCATTATGCCTCGACTCCACTTTACTGGCTTTTTTTATTGTTAAAATTTAAAAAAAAACGTAAATGGTTTACTACAAATAAAAAGCAAAAACAAATTACCGTGCAGAAACCTAATATTGACAAATTTTCAACTAAAAGGTCCAAAAATTACGGCTAAAAACACCAAAAACCTTGCACCAACCCATAAGGGGTGGGAAATGGTTAAATTGTAAATTTTTGACTATTGACGAATATTGACACAGCAATCATAAATATTCCCTATGAGTTTCAACTCGATCCGACCATCTTTCTCGAATTTATAGCCAATAAAAGTTAAAACTTTAAAACTCGTATGGTTTTTTTTTTTTAAATCAAATTTTAACTGTAAAAAGGTAAATGTTTATACAAATTTAACCTCGTTAGTATCAACTAGATTCCATTTGTGATTTATCGAGTTGCAGTTTGCTACTCGAAGGAATTGGTCTAGCATTAAAACCTTAAAGTGTGCACAGATACAAAAAAAGACCACATCATTGTAAAACCAATAGCATCGCTGCTTCAAATCGAAAATACAGATATAATGAGGTACGAATAGGCGTAATTATTAAAATTTAAAACATTTGTGCTTGCAATTGAAGGAGATAATAAATCACAAGTTGACAACATTCTCGAATCAGTCCTAATATGTTTTTTCAACTACTATATCATTTGAAAATCTATGAAATGTTATAATACATTTTTGATAAAAACCAGGTATACTTACAGATAGTGATTAGGTACGCCTTGTCTGATTTATAATTTCCTATTTGTCTGATGACTAGTTTTTTGTGTACCTACTTTTTAAAAGTTGAAACATTTAAAAGTTATTAAATTGGGATACAAAACCATATTTAATGTCATATCGTTATACATTTTAAATTTAAAATCCAATGATTTTCATTTATAATTGCTTTTTTATTTAAAATGTTTGCTATTTTCATCATAATTAACCTGTTTATTTTTTAATTTTCCAGTCTTCATTCAAACACAGCTTTTATTAACACAAATGTAATGTTACAAAACTCGTTCCCACTCGATTAATATTAACAACATTTTTAGATGGATAACATCAACATAGCACAAAATATAAAAAATAGCAATTTTAATGGTGCCCTAAAGTTAATATTGATTAATTATTTTTGAACATGTTATTATTAGATTATGAAAAATTGTCTGTTTTTTTTTCTTGTAACCATTATCCTTAACCGACTAATCGCGATCCTCCCATTTTAACAATGTAGCCACAATGTATGTCATCGATTTCGTTCTAATTTTTCGATATTCTGAACAGAATTTTACATCAAAGCCTTTTGTGCTGCACAGGTGTTTAAAAAGTACACCATATAGACCTAAACCTTAAACAGCTAAAACAAAAATATTAAATTTAAAAATATACAAAATATACTTTTAAGTTTACAAATTGTTATCATAGGGGCATTGTGTAGCGCAGTTGTCATCTCGGTGGATCGAGGGTTTTTAGGTCTAAAAAATAGAGAATTGATGATGTAAAGAAAAAAAAGGTATGGTACATCTTTAATTTGTATAAAAGCAAATGAGAAAACTCCCTTAATACAATCTGCTTCGCAGTATCGCATTGAAGATAAAAATAACATTGTTAAATAATAAATAAAGTACAGTTAATGTTTACTTTGTTTTGTCAAGGGCTCTTTATTGTCTTTGAAGTAATCTTTTATGATTTTTATATCGGATTCGTTTTTTCCCATGTACAACAAGAAATCGTAAATTGTAATATTAGTAACTTGAGATTTGCCCAACCATCTTCTACAATCATCGAAAGAATCTTTTAGAGTCTGAAATTGTATTTGTAAATATCAATACACGTTATTACATTAAAAATTCCGTTTATAAAATTAAAAAACTTATAATATTTAAACTTATTTCCCATTAAGAATTTTTTAATCACTAACAATTCATGTTTTTTCCGTAATTAATTTTGCAATCATTACATAAAACAAATAACTAACGTAAAATTAATTTTTAGGTCACAAAATATTTTGTATCCATATGAATTATATAATTAAATGTTAAGTTATTTTAACATTTTTTTAGTGAACGTTAAAAATATTCCATACTTATTATTAGTCAATACAAAATCATGTTCTTTTAAATTATTTAAAAGGACACCTTTCCGTCTATTTCTAAGGAGTAACTACAGGAATTTTTTTGCAAAATAATTATACCAAATAATATGTCACTATTCGAATATTAATATAAAAATATTTTTAACTAACAATGGATATAGTAATCTGTATTTTGACCATATATAAAATTGATCATAAAGATTTGAATTTAAAGTGTTTAAGTTAAAAAGATTTAGCGTAACACTGATATTTTTTTTTTAAATTAAAAAGAAATTGTAATAATTACTTCGTTTTCATCTTCGGGTTCTCCCAGTACAGAATAAGTAGCTATGATAAAAGATAGTATCAAAATAGAGAACTTGAAGAACATTGTATCCATTGAACTATAAACGGAAGATAATCTGTAGGACAAAACAAAAGATCTTTTACCATTGAATGTCTGTTTTATACAGAATTAAAAGAAAAAAAAAATTTTAAAATTAGTACATTATAAAAACTATGAGTCATATAAAATAGATTAGATGTGTTATTATTATTAAAATTGCATATTTTCACATCTATATAAACAAGTACCTACAGAAGTATATTAATTGTTGTAGCGTTTCTGAGTATTTTTTGTAATTTCACAGAAGTGAAGTATTGTATAAAACTGTACGCACTGAATAATACATTTGCACGCATATATAAATAACAATATCACAGTTATTTTAAATATAACCATACTCATATGCACTGAGCAAGCTATTAAATACCATTGCTATGACTCATCTCCCCCCTTTTACAAAAACTAGTTAACAGAACAATTTTCGGAGGAGATAATTATATAAGATTAATGTACTAAAAATGTTGATTGGTCGATAAACAGTTTCGGACAACTATTTTTAAAACTATAAGTGTTTAAAAGTTAGGATGACAGGGGAAGTATGGTTAAAAAATGGGCGCAGTAAAAAAAAAAAATACTGCACTCCATTTTTCCTCCTGCCCTAAACTTAAAACTTTAATAGCTTCAAAAATAGTTGTATAAAATATTAAGATCATATTGTATAAAAACGATATGGAAAAAAAAATGTAATTTCTTATTAAATCCTATGAGATATCACCCTGTATTCAATTTAAGATAAACTTAGTTTATATTATTTACCTTTATTAAACAAATAAATTTACAAAATCTTCTTAGTTATAAATTTCCTTTCTCAAGCGGAATTCGACTACAAGTTGAGGGACTGCATATAACTCGACTAAGAATTTGACTTATCTCTCGATTTCCTGGACACTCAGCTACTGGACGGAGACCAATTATCAGTAGACTGTGCAGATAAGTTTCAATCCAAGACCCTTTACAATAATTGTCCAATTATCGACGCAACGGTGGTTCCCAGGTCTGCTATTAAGGAGTCGTAACTGGGTAACCCCTATTAGAACATTTAAAAAATAACTGTAAAATTAGGTAAATTATCTATCAAGCAAAAAAAAATAAAATAATTAAGAGGACGCATGAGGAAAAAAATGAAGAATGAGTCATAGGCATGTAGAAACTTGCTCAGTGCATATGTGTTTACTTTAATTTAAATATTTGTGATATTATAATTTATAAATGAGTGCAAATTATTCTGTGCATACAGTTTCATAAATTACTTATGATAAATAAATTCAATATTTATATATTAAAACATTATACTTGTGTAAATATGCAATTTAAATAATAATGACTCATTTGAAAAATTCAATAACAATCCAATTTGACATATTTATGTACTCGTAAAATATTTTTTTCTATTTCACTGCTATATAAAATTGGCAATCAAAGAAAAGAAAAATCATTTGTTTTGTCTCACAGTTTAACTTTAGTATATAGTAAATTGAATACAATGTTTTTCAAGTTCTCTATTTTGTTACTATATTTTATCATAATTGCTTATTGTGTACAGGGTGAACCCGAGGATGAAAATGAAGTAATTATTATCATTTATTATTTTTAAATTTATGTCAATGTTACGCTAATCATTTTAGGTTAAAAACTTTAATCCAAAATCTTTATGATAAGTATTATACATGGTCAAAGTACGATTTTTATACCTATTGTTTTATAAAATAAATTTTCAAAACTGTTATATTTGATTATTATTTGAATCGTGACTTAATTATTTAGGTTAAAACAATTTAATATCATAAACATTTTAATTGTAACTTTTTTCGTAAATTAAATTAATAAATAGTAAAATTTCTATCAACCTTTGATTAAATAATAAATTAGTCAGCAAATTTGTAAGTAAAAAATGTACTTTCAATAAAACTGTATACGTTTTTTAATCAACTAGACATTATTTATAAAATTTGTAAATAACGTATATGTTATTTATACAATAAATGAATAGACAATTTCTTTTTTGGGCTAATTATTAGCATTAATAATAAGTTAATAAGTTTAAAAAATTATTCACAGTTAATACTTGAATTGTTCGTGATAAACATGTCTTAATAAATAAAAAATAAAAATATAAGAATTTAAATTTTGTAATCGGGATATTTATTGTAAAAAATTCGATTGATATTTATAAAAAAAATTTCAGACTCTGAAAGATTCGTTCGATAATTGTAGAAGATGGTTGGGCAAATCTCAAAGTATGACTATTAAAATTAACGGTTTCTTGCTGTATTTGGGGAAGAACATAACTGATTTGAATATCATAAGAAATTACTTCAAGAACAATCCAGCTACCAGGGAAAAACAAGGTAAACTTAACTATTTTTTTATTTATCATTTAATAATATTATTTGTATCTTCGATGCTACACTGTGAAGCAGTTTGTATTAATGAATTATTGTCATTCGCATTTATAAAAAATAAATATGTGTTTGTGCTATTTTTTCTTAACAACACCGAATCTAAATTAAGTTTTTCCCATACCCGCTAACTATTGTAATACTTGTGTAATACTGTGCGACACCATGTTTTTATAATAACAATTTCTAAACATATATATATATATATATATATATATATACATATACATATACATATATAATTATTTATTATTACATTAAATATTTTTGTTTTAGCTTCTATAGATTTAAGTGTATATGGTGAACTTTTTAAGCACATATGCAAAACACGTGATGTTTCTGTAAAAACCTGGGCATTATATATGAAAGTTAAAGCGGCAATAAGGACACTTGAAGAGGCTATATTGTTAGATTGGGGCGATTACGATTAGATGGTCGAAATAAAGTTAAATGTAAACAAAACAAATTTTTTAAAATTTTTTTTAGTCTTATGTTCATTGTAACATGTTAAAAAATGTTTAAAAATTCAATACATCAAAACTAATTTTAAGACACTATAACTGCTATTTTTCAAATAAAAACCAATTATTCCACAAATTGTGTCATGTTTTTTTATGCATAAGGAAAAAGTATAATAGTCTTTAATTCAAATTAAAATTACAAAAATTGATAAATTTTTCATTATTGAATTATCAAGTACATATAAATATGTAAAATAATAGTAAATAATATCACAATAAAACTTAACACAAGACATATGTGTTAACATATGGTATACTTGATTCGAAAAAATTGTCAGCCTATGACTGGTTACTAGAGAAACCTACACAATTTTAAGCTAACATAACAAGTGCTCACAAAAAAACAAAATTTAAGTAAATTTATGTTACAAATGGAACATTTTATAAAAGCAAATTTAAAAAAATTAAGCACAGTAATAGAAATCCGTACATTATATTTTTGACGTTTGTTTGAGAAAAAGAAAGTATAATTAAATTCCTTATAATGTAATAAAAAAGGGATAAATTATTATTAGGTTCACTACACTAGGGTAAACTATTTAGAGTAAAATGTTTTTTCAATTTACTAATTTATGTAAAATATTAAACTGAATATTTATTCCATCCCACTAATTTTGATTTAATTCAATTAAAGAAATAAAATAAGTTTTTATTATTTACCTTTATCAAACAAATAAATGTACAAAACCTTCTTAGTTATGAATTTCCTTTCTCAAGTGGAATTTGACTACAAGTTGAGGTATTACATATAACTCGACTGAGAATTTGACTTATCTCTCGATTTTCTGGTCACTCAGCTACTGGACGGAGACCAATCATCAGTAGACTGTGCAGATAAGTTTCAATTCAAGACCCTTTACAGTAATTACCCAATTATCCAACAATATAGAGCATGCTCAACGATGGTTCCCAGGGCTGCTACTAGAGAGTCGTAACTGGATAACCCCTATTAGAATATTAAAAAAAAAATTGTAACATTAGATAAATTATTTATCAAACAAAAAGAAATGAAATAATTAGGAGGGCGAATGAAGAAAAAAATGAAGAATGAGTGCATATGTGTTTACTTTAATTTAAATATTTGTGATATTATAATTTATAAATGAGTGCAAATTATTCTGTGCATACAGTTTCATAAATTACTTATGATAAATAAATTCAATATTTATATATTAAAACATTATACTTGTGTAAATATGCAATTTAAATAATAATGACTCATTTGAAAAATTCAATAACAATCCAATTTGACATATTTATGTACTCGTAAAATATTTTTTTCTATTTCACTGCTATATAAAATTGGCAATCAAAGAAAAGAAAAATCATTTGTTTTGTCTCACAGTTTAACTTTAGTATATAGTAAATTGAATACAATGTTTTTCAAGTTCTCTATTTTGTTACTATATTTTATCATAATTGCTTATTGTGTACAGGGTGAACCCGAGGATGAAAATGAAGTAATTATTATCATTTATTTTTATTTATTATTTTTTAATTTATGTCAATGTTACGCTAAATCATTTTAGGTTAAAAACTTTAATCCAAAATCTTTATGATAAATATTATACATGGTCAAAGTACGATTTTTATACTTATTGTTTTATAAAATAAATTTTCAAAACTGTTATATTTGATTATTTTTTTTTTTTTTTTTTTTATTGATCAAAAGCCTCCGTTACAATGACCGTTGGCTATACAATACAATTATCTTATTTTATAACATTTGATATATACAATAAATACTATTTATACGAGTACATACAAGTCAGATTGAGAGATAAAATTAACAGAAAGCTTCCCATAGATCGTCAGGCAGTTGGTTGATTTTTTTGAGGTCTTATTTGATTATTATTTGAATCGTGACTTAATTATTTAGGTTTAAACAATTTGATATTATAAACATTTTAATTGTAACTTTTTTTAACCCCAAAAAATAAGTCCTTTAAATAGTGAAATTTCTTTCAACCTTTGATTAAATAATAAATTAATCAGCAAATTTGTAAGTAAAAAATGTACTTTCAATAAAACTGTATACATTTTTTAATTAACTAGACATTATTTAAAAAATTTGTTATTAACCTATACGTTATTTATACAATAAATGAATAGACAATTTCTTTTTTTGGGCTAATTATTAGCATTAATAATAAGTTTTTATAATGTTTGGAAAATTAATAGCGGCTAATACTTAAATTGTTCGCGATTAAAAGTGTCTAAATAGGTAAAAAATAAAAATATTATAAGTATTTTAATTTTGTAATCAGGATATTAATTGTAAAAAAATTACACAGATATATATAAAAAAAAAAAAAAAAAATTTCAGACTCTCAAAAGTTCGTTCGATAATTGTAGAAGATGGTTAGGGAAATCTCTGAATGATACTATTACAAGGAACGAATTTTTGTTGTATATGGGAAAAAACATTAGCGATTGGTATGCCTTAGATTTATACTCCATTACAAACCTAGCTGCCAATGAAAAAAATGGTAAACATTAATTTCGCATCATTATTTATCATTTAATAATAATACTTTTTATCTTCGATGAGAAATTGTGAAGCAGTTTGTTTTAAGAGATTAATGTCATTCGCATTTATAAAAAATTAAAATTTGTGTTTTTCCTCTTTTTTCCTTAACAACGCCGAATCTAAATTAAGTATTTCCCATACCCGTTAACTATTGTAATACTCGTGTAATACTGTGCGACACCATGTTTTTATAATAACAATTTATATATATATATATATATATATATATATAGATATTATTTGTTATTTGATTAAACATTTTTGTTTTAGCTTCTATAGATTTAAGTGTATATGGTGAACTTTTTAAGTACATATGCAACATACGTGGCGTTTCTATAAGACACTGGGCATTATATATGAAAATTAAAGCGGCAACAAGTACACTCGAAGAGGCTTTATTGTTAGATTGGGGTGATCACGATTAGGTGGTTGAAATAAAGTTCAAAGAAAATAAACAATTTTTTTTGTTTTATTGTAACATGTTAAAAAATATTTAAAAATTCAATATATCAATACATATTTTATGACACTATAACTGCTATTTTTCAAATAAAAACCTATTATTCCACATTTGTGCCATGTTTCTTTTATCGATAAGGAGAAATTATAATAGTCTTTAATTCAAATTCAATTATAAAATGGTTTAATTGGAGCAATTTTCATTATAAAAATCTTGATTAACCAATTTTTTTTTCCTATCCACTATATAAAGTAGTTTATGCAATAACTGCATGATAAGTATGCTATTTTTTTTATTTTAATCAATATTAATACTTTTTTTAACACCCTCTTTGTTTTGAAGGGGATTAATTATTATATTTAAGTATGATAACATATACTTCAAATAAAAAATGCGTAATCACTGTCTGTAATTTGTACACGTGGGTAAGTAAACATGTAATACTTTTATGGATGTTCAAATGATATAGCAGTTAAAAAAAAAAATTAACACAAGACATATGTGTATACAAATACTATAATGGTGTACTTGATTCGAAAAAATTGTCAGCCTATGACTGGTTACTAGAGAAACCTACACAATTTTAAGTTATCATAGCAAGTACTCGCAAAAAAACAAAATTTAAGTAAATTTATGTTACAAATGGAAAATTTTAGAAAAGCATACGTTTAAAAAATTAAGCACAGTAATAGAAATCCGTACATTATATTTTTGACGTTCGTTTGAGAAAAAGAAAATATAATCAAATGCCTTATAATGTAATAAAAAAGCGATAAATTATTATTACGTTCACTACAATAGGGTAAACTATTTGGAGTAAAATATTTTTTCAATTAACTAATTTATGTAAAATATTAAACTGAATATTTTATCCATCCCACTAATTTTGATTTAATTCAATAAAAGAAATAAACTTAGTTTATATTATTTACCTTTATTAAACAAATAAATGTACAAAACCTTCTTAGTTATGAATTTCCTTTCTCAAGCGGAATTTGACTATAAGTTGAGGGACTGCATATAACTCGACTGAGAAGTCTTGATAATTTATAAGTTCTATGCACAGTAATAGAATTATGTAAATTATTTTTTTGACCTTGATTTGTGAATATATGTTTAAATTCCTTATAATGTAATAAAAAAAGCCAAAAATTAAATTAAATGTAAAAGCATTTTTAGTGCAATTTTAAGGTATTTTCGGTTCAATTATGCAATCAACTTTAATCACTTTTTAATGCTTTAAAGTTAAAGCTTTAATAGTAATGTTGAAATAAGCGTTTCAGCTTTTTAGTTCACCATTTCTGAAAATTATAAAAAAACGCTCATACACACGTATGCGTTTGAGACATCGATATGTTTGTATAAATTATATAGAACAAATAAACTTGTTTATATAGATGTGCAAATATGAAATATCAATAAAAATTCCACGTCTAAAAAATTTAAGAGGAATCATAACTTTTATAATGTACTCATAAATTTTTCTTTTTTTTTTCTTTCATTTCATATAAAACAGACATTCAAAGATGGTAAAAGGCTATTCATTTTGTCTCACAGTTTAACTTTCGTTTATAGTTCTATGAATACAATGTTCTTCAAGCTTACTATTTGGTTACTATATTTTATCATAGCTGCTAATACTGTACTGAGACATTCTGAAAATGAAGCTTCTACTAGTTATACTGAACCAGACAACATTTTTGAAGATAAGCACGTCATCAAAACGGAAGCCATGCAACTGGTGAGTAGGAAGAAAATGTAGCCATAAACTGGACATATTATGATATAGTCGTTTTTAATTGTAGTCAGGCGATCAAGTAAAAATATATGACAAAAAAAAAAAAAACTTCTACATCATGTTCCTCTTTAATCGAAGGTTAGAAATTATCATGGCTGTATGGTGTTCGTTCTTGGCAGCGTTGAGTAGTTCCTTGGTGTTGTGTTTGTACCACTCTCTTAGATTAGCTTGTACTAGGACTTCCTCTGCCCATCAAATATTAAACAATTACACTTTTTCCAAAAACATCATAGATAAAATGTGAGCATAATCTTTTAATAAATTGAAATGACAGTTTTATTTAATGGCTATTAATTCAACTAAAAATAAGGAATAGGGTTTTTATCAACTTCTACTAAAAAAAATGACTTCATGAAAAATGTAGGTATTTATAAAGTGTTTTTATTTAATTACATTATTCATATGGATACAAAATTATTTCTTTCAGAGAAATATTAATGTTAATTATAATACTTATTCAATCTTGGTAAACATAATAGTTTGAACATTAAAAGTATTATTATTTTATAATCGGGTATTTTAATGTAAAATATTGTATTTGATACTTATACAAACAATTTCAGATTCTCAAAGATTCGTACGATGATTGTAGAAGATGGTTGGGCAAATCTCTATTTAGTACTATAACAATTACCGATTTCTTGTTGTACATGGGGAAAAACCAATCCGACAAGAAAACCGTTACAAAATACTGCCAGGACAATAAAGAGGCTTTGGCAAAACAAAGTAAACATTAATTACACAATATTATTTATAAATCATTAATATTATTATTACTTTGATGCGAAACTGTGTAGCAGTTTGTTTTCAAGAAGTGTTTCATTGATAACTGAGGTGACCACTGCGCTAGAACATGCTCCTGTGATAACAATTTGTAAACATATAATTATACATTATTGATTTAAAAATAAATATTTTTGTTTTAGATGTTATAGATTTAAATCTATATGGTAAACTTTTTCAACACATATGCAGCAAACGTGGCGTTTCTATAAAAAACTGGACAACACATATGAAAATTAAAGCGGCAACAAGGACACTAGAAGATATTAAATTGTTAGATTGGGGCGATCACGATTAACTGGTCTAAAATATAAAGGTTACAAGAAAAAATAAAGATAATTTTTCATAGTCTAAAGTTATTTATAACATTTAAACATGCAATATGTCAAAACTAATTTTAAAACACTAAAAACTGCTGATTTCAAATAAAAACCGATTATTCCACATTTTGTGTCATGTTAATTGTAATTTATAAGAAAAAAGGGTAAGTCGAGCAGTTTTTAAATATAGCATTATCAAGTACACATAAATATGTGAAGAAATATAGTGATAATAATAAGAAAATATAATGGTCACCTTTTGAGAAACCAATTTTTTTTCTTACTCAACTATGTTATGTCACTAACGTAGTTTCTTCAATAATTGTTTGATTATATGCTTAATTGTATGATTTAATAAATAATATTCAATAAATAATATTATAAATTACAATAGGTTCTTGGTACTATGTTTATTCTAATAGTACTAGACGTATTGTATTTATGCACATAAAATAACTTTAAGCTATAGTTGTCGGATCTTGCCAAACAATCTAACTCGACGCCTGAAACTATCTACTGGTGCCTCATAATCTAAATTTGTAAATATATATCTTTTCTTTATCTTAATGTACAGATGACCCTAATGTGAGGATTCCTCTCGAGTTGATCATGTCTTATTTAGTGTTGTCATATTTACTTAATGTGCATTATTTTTTGCATTTATTGTACATTTAAAAAAAAAAACCGAGTTTATCTTCTCAACTACTCATGCAAGCTTTACATGTAAAAAAAAAGTATTATTATATAGAAGAGACTATCATAAGAGTTTTATACAAAGAAGGTACGACTAGGTATAATTATTAAAATTTTAAATATTTGTGTTTGCAATTGAAGGTGATAATAAATCATAATTTGAAAACATTCTCGAATCAGACTTACTACTTTAAGTTTTGTTTACACAGATGTCTTAATAATATGTTTTTTTAACTGCTATGTTATTTGATCATCCATGAAAAATTATAATACAATTTTTATAAAACCACGTGTAAAAGTTACAGACAGTGATATGCATTGTCTTATTTAGAATGTAATATTTGTGTTATGTCTACGAGTAACTTTCAAAATTAAAAATGCATTAATTAAAGAATTTATCCGAACTTATTATAGTTCAATATTTGTATTATGACCATGTGTAGTCATATTGCACATACTTATACTAGTAATTTGCCCATGTCACAACAAAATGCGTACTTGGTTTAAAAAAAAAGCAAATAAATTAAATAAAATACAAAATTTAGTTCTCAATAAACCTATATATTTTATGTATATTTTTTAATCTTTCAGGCGTCATTCAAACACAGCTTCAATTAACATAAATTTTATATTACAAAACTTGTTATCATTCGATTAATTTGTGTTTCACTCGACTGTGGTTAAGAAATACAACAAAGAATATCATATTTCTTTTGGTTAAGGAGAGAAAATAAATAGTTAACGATTCTTAAATTTGGTCTATAATTAATCTGCATATGCACTGAGTAAAACCTCAAAGGAACACACTATAAAAAAATATATGAAATTTAGGACTCCCAGTTGCTAAAATCCATAAAGGGGAAAAGATCTGAGTTTTTTTTTGTAAAAATAGGTTTTTCAATTGTGTCATAAAATTAAATTTGATTTATTGAATTTTTAATGTTTAACTTTTTTAACATGTTATAATTGTTAATTATCAATGTCATACAATTTGTTTTGACTGATTGCATTTTTTAACATGTTACTATTAGATTATAAAAAATTGTCTGTTCTTTTTTTTTTACGAATTTATTAATTTTCAAAAATAGTCTTCATCATAATTAACAAATGAAAAAACAATTTGAATGGTGTCATAAAATGTAGATATTTTGACTTATTGTATTTTTAAATGTTTTTTTAACATGTTAAATTATGAAAAATTGTATTTTTTCTTGTAACCTTTATTCTTGGCTACTATCGCGATCCTCCCAATCTAACAATTTAGTCGCATTATATGTCCTGGTTACTGCTTTACTTTTTCTATATGCTGCACAGCTTCTTACAGACCGGTCATGTTTGCCACATAGGTGTTTAAAAAGTTCCCGTATAAATTTAAATCTATAACAGCTGAAATAAAAAGAACAAAAATTTTTATTTTAAAAATAAATAATATAGATATAAATGCGAATGAGAATTCTCTCTTAAATCAAACTACTTCACAGTTTCGCATCAAAGACCAAAACAATAATTTTAGATGATAAATTAAGTATAATTGATGTTTACCGTGTCTTACCAAAGCCCGTGGATTGTTCTCGAAGTAATCTCTTATGATAAATATATCTGGTAAGTTTTTTCCCATGTACGACAAAAAATCTCAAAGTGTAATACTTCTACTTAGAGGCTTGCCCACCCATCGTCTACAATAATTGTACGAATCCATTAGAGTCTGGAATTTTTTTTATAAATATTAATACACTTATTACATTCAAAATTCCCATTATAAAATTAAAATATATATATTATTTAAACTTTTTACTCATTAAGAATTGTTTAATCATCAATTATTCAAGTATTATCCGTAATTATATATTCAATCCTTATCTACTATCCTAACTACTAACCTATACCTAATTAATGTTTAAGTCATGATTAATATGTTGTCTGTTGCTTAAAATATAGGTGATGATCAATGATCTACGGCGTTGTGCACATTTCAATATTTAATTGTATAGGAAGTGATTTTGGTCAAGTAGTAGTTGAAAATATCACATGCCAATTATTCCCCAATCCAAAAAAAATATATCAAAAAATATTGCTAATGAACATTAGTTATACAAATTGTATTTTGATCATAAATATTAATGATAAAGATTTTGGATTAAAGTTTTTAACCTAAAATGATTTAGCGTAACATTGACATAAATTTAAAAATAATAAATAAAAATAAATGATAATAATTACTTCATTTTCGTCCTCGGGTTCGCCCTGTACACAATTAGCAATTATGATAAAAGATAGTAACAAAATAGAGAACTTGAAGAACATTGTATTCAATGAACTATAAACTGAAGTTTAACTGTGAGACAAAACGAATGATTTGTACCGTCACCGAATGACCGTTTTGTATAGAGTGGAAAAAAAAACTAAATAACACTAGTACAAACAAATGTAAACTATGATTGCTTTTGAGTTTCTTAAATGTGTCATTATTGAAATTTCATATTTGCTCATCTATATAAACAAGTTCAAACAAAAGTATATGTGTTGTATATAAACCGTACTAACGTCTTTGGCGCATAGGTTTGTAGGTGCGCTTTTTTACATTTTACAGAATAGAAGCTAGGTGGGTCAATCTTACTACTTTTATAAAAACTGAAAAAAATTCAAATGCAAATTTTATAAAATAATACATAACTTTTGTTAGCATAATTTATATTTTTTTATAAAAGGCTATTTTAAATATATAAAACATAATTTGTTTCCATTTGGTTTTTGCTATTTCCATTTGTCGAATCAGACATACTATTTTAATTTATGTTCACACAAATGTCTTGATATGTTTTTTTTCAACTGTTACATTATGTTTTACTCGTGCATGCAAAATTATATTGTTAAAGTATAGTTGCTTAGGCATAGTTATAATATAAAATATTCAACGCAAAAAGATGTCACACAATTTGTTTTGACTGATTGTATTTTTTAACATGTTATTAATAGATTATAAAAAATTGTCTATTCTTTTTTTTTTACGATTTTTTTAATTTTTCAAAAACAGTCTTCATCATAATTAACAAATGAACGAAAAAACAATTTGAATGGCGTCATAAAATGTAGATATTTTGACTTATTGTATTTTTAAACGTTTTTTAAACATGTTAAATTATGAAAAATTGTCTGTATTTTTTCTTGTAACCTTTATTCTTGGCTACTATCGCGATCCTCCCATTCTAACATTGTAGCCGCACGGTATGTCCTGGATGCCGCTTTCTTTTTTCTATATTTTGCACAGTCTCTTACAGAACGGCCGTGTTTGTTGCATATGTGTTTAAAAAGTTCACCATATAGACTTAAATCTATAGCAGCTAAAACAAAAAAAAAACAAAAAAAATGATTAAATTAAAAATAATTTATCATTTTTATGTGGACCAAAACGCCAAATACGAATGAACGTTTGGAGTGACCCCCAGTGGATTTTTTTGAAAATTACACTGCATGTCTGTTACGACGAATGAAATGATCAAATTGTTATCTTAGGATGTAGATACAATTTCGCGTCAAAGATAAATATATGATTATTAAATGATAACAATAAATAGTCATGTTCAATAAGTGTTTACCTCTTTTTTCATTGGCAGCTGGATTGGTAGCGAAGTAAAAATCTAAGGCATACCAATCGCTTATGTTTTTTCCCATGTACAACAAAAAATCTAACCTTGTAATAAAACTGTGTTGAGGTTTGGCCAACCATTTTCTACAATTATCGTACGAACCTCTTATAAGCTGAAATTTTGTTTATCAAAAGTCAATAAACTGACGAAAAATATAATCATTTTTAAATAATAGTTAAAAAATAGTAACAATAATTACATCGTTTTCATCTTCGGTTTCTCCCAGTACTGTATTAGCAGCTATAATAAAATATAGAAACCAAATAGAGCACTTAAAGAACATTGTACTGAACTATAAACTTGTGTTACACTGTGAGACAAAACGAATGATTTGTAATGTCTTCGATTGCCTATTTTATATACAATAAATACAACAAAAAAAATTAATTATTACAAATAGGTATGTGAAATATTATAACTATTGAATTTCTTAGGTGTGTAATTTTTTTAAATTGCTATTTGCACATATATATATATATATATATATATATATATATATATATATATATATATATATATATATATATATATATAATATAAACAAATACCTAAACAACTATATTTGTTGTAAATAATCTATACACACATATACATAGATGATTTTACCGCACAGGTGTTTAAGGACGTTTGTTTTCATTTTACAGAAAATAAGTTTAAAAATGCTAATTGCGACATCATTAATAAGGCACGATTGAATCAAAAATAGCTTAAAATTGCACTAAGAATGCCTTAACAGTAACTCATATTTTATTTAATAATTAAAAAAATGGTCTTAAACTATTGTTTTTGATTCTTTCGAAATTATTTTGTATAAAAAAATATTCGGTTTAATATTTTACATAGGTTAGTAACTCGAACAAATGATTTGCCCGATTGTCGTGACCCTACTATTAATGTACTTAGATTTTTTTAATTTCCGCCTCTTTATAATATTTTCAACGTATAACGTTATTTTTCTCAATTTTTTTTTTTTTTTGTGTTTATGTGAGCATTTGTTATAATAGCTTAAACCCCGTAGCTCACACTAGTAATAAGCCTTATGGCTTATTACCAGTGTAATGTAGTGTAGTATTATAAGTTATTTTTACACAGTTGTCTTAATAAGTTTTTCTTCAACTGTTATATGTATCATTTGAACATTCATAAGAAAATTGTAATCCATTTTTAATAGAACCCCGTGAAACAATTACAGACAGTGTTTACACATTGTCTTATTTAATATTTGTTGTTATGACTATGTGTAGTTCATATAATTTTTTACAAGTGTTATTATATTTAAAAAGATGCGAATTTATCCGCTTGACAATAAAATGCGCGTTAAAAAAAAAAGTATTAAAACAAAATGAATACCAAATTCGGGTTTACACTTGTTTAACTATTGACCCCCTCCCCTCTCCAAGTAGGTACCCGCAATTGAGGATTATGTGATCAAAGGCAACGCAACTCGATGAAATCGGTATAGAGTTTCTTGTTAATAGATATATGCTTCAAAAAAAAAAAGAAACAATAAAATACAATTAATAAATTATTCTACAAATGGGCAAGCTAACAAAAGTTGTATATAAAAAATGTGTGACTTGATGTATCTTTTAAAATTTTTAAAACTTCAGATTGCACACATTATACTACCTATGTGATATAAAAATGCATTTTTATTCATTAAAATATAAAACTAAACATACAAACCTTGCAATTATTACAGAAATTATTTTTTATTTATTTGAGCTCAATAGAAAGGTTCTTAAGAGGTTAAAATAATTACTTGACATATTTGTGTGTATTTTATAAAGCTATATTGAAAAGTCACTCAAATTTGCTATTTTTTTTTAGTTACCAATTAAATTATGGACTATTATCATTTTTTCTTATAGGTAAAATTAACATAGCACAAAAAGTGGAATAATCAGTTTTATTTAAAAACAAACAGCGGTTTTGGTGTCACAAAATTTGTTTTGGCGTGTTGCATTTTTAAACATTTTTAACATGTTATTTTTAACTTTAGACTATGAAAATTTATCTGTACTTTGTGTATTCTAAACTTTATTTTCGACCAGCTAATCGTGATCGCCTTAATTTAACAATGTAATATCATCTGTCACCCTTGTTGCCGCTGTAACATTTATATATGCTATCCAGTATTTTACAGGAACGCCACGTGCGTTTAAAAAGATTTAAATCTATAACACCTTAAACAAAATTATTTAATTTAAAAATAAATAATATTGTATACATATAGTTAAGCTGCTAAATTGTAGAAGGGGTGGCAAATTTTTTTTTCACCTCACCTTTTCGAGCGTTTTTTTGGGGGGGGGGGGGGTATTTAGGTCTGAAGATAAGAATAAAGGTAAAATAAATGGTAAAATTCTCTAGTCAACATTTTTTTCCCATACATTTTCACCAAGTGCACCCTACACGCCAGTAGTGTCGTTTTTAAATTATATCCATTTCCCATCACTCTACGGGGGTTGTTTTTTTTTATTTGCTGGCTAAAATTGAAAACCTATTTTGAATTCGACATCAGCGAACCAAACATCATACACGAGTAGTTTGGTATTTTCGAAATCCTTTCATTAAAATCCAGGATTATGTTTTTGCTTCGGTGTAGAGCGCAGGAGGTATTAGTTTTACAGTGATTTTTTTTTTTTTTTACTTAAATTTTAGGTACACCAGAATCACGAAACGAAAACACTAATTTCCGGTTGGATTAACCGCATAACCGAACCGCATCTTTCCGCCGGGCTGAGTGAGTCTGAAACTTACAACAGAGTGAGAGTAGAAACTTGTGTGGTAACACTTAACGGTTCTGAAATATATAAAGAATTCTCATTTTTCAAAGGAACGATACAGTATGAAAAATGAATGTACAGTTATGGTTAAGAAAATTAACAATAACTCAACAACTTCAGATATGAATTTAAGAACATACATTTTTTTATAAATGAATAAAAACTATAGGTTCATATAGGTAGTAAAAACAAAAAAAAAACCTACACAAAATTGATGGAGACATAGCTGAGACGGAGCGTAAAGGGTACGGGGAGGCCACAGGTCTACAGGAAATATTAAAGCTGTAATGGTTTTTTTCACATTCAAATGTGAACTATGATTGTTATTGAATTTTTTAGACGTGGCAATTATTATTTAATTTTCATATTTGCCCAAGTTCACAAGTATATTTGTTCTATTGAACGCTCAGGTGTGTATGTCAGTTTTTTTTTGTTGAAATTTTACAGAAAAAAAGGTCATTTTTTAGATATTGAGTGATTGGTAAGGTTTTGTAGACTGGCATTTCAAGAGTGGATTTTAGGAGGAAAATGTGGGCGCTAGAGATGATAAGGAATGACGTTATAATAGTTATCTAAAAAAATCTGTAGTAATCTAAAACCCTTGTTTATTATTTATTAATGAAAACCAAAAAAATGGGAAAATTACACATTGACTGTAGTAAAATTAGGGGGGGGGAAGAAGTAAATTTATGTTTTAGAATATTTTCAAGTGCATAATGTACAAATTTCTGTTATTTTTTTTTTAAAATTACTGTCTGAATTTTTTTTTTTTTGTGGATACTTTTTATAATAACTTAAAAAACTAAAGGTTATTATTAATCACAAGCAGACAACAATCCCGAATTAGATATACCATTTTATAGGTTTTGTTTACACAAATGTCTTAGTAATATGTTTTTTCTCAACTGCTATATCATTTGACGAGAAAATTGTATTTAACTTTATGTAGAACACCGTGTACAAATTCTAGACAGTGTTTACGCATTGTCTTATTTGCAATATTTAATATTTGTGTTATGACTACCGGTAACTCTTAAATTACTAATACATATCAGTATACATAAATTAATGAAGATATCCTCACTTGTCGTAATACCTTTGCTAATAACCGAAGGTTATATTCGAAATAAATCATGTATAGACAATATTTAAGAAAAAACATATTACATAATAATTCAATTAAATTCCATGTATAAAATACAGACAACGTACAATGTTTTATAATAATTTTTTTCTTTCGTTAAAGATATGAAAAACTATATTGTACACTACGTTAGACTTCCACATAAAATGAGAAAATAATAAATTTTTTTACAGTCCTTTTGCAAAGTTATCACAAACATTCACAAAATAACTTGTTATTAAATTATATCATGTGAATAACTCCCAAACTGAAGCCGATAGGAACAAAATAATAATTGCATTCTTTAAACCAGCGCCCCATGCTTGTAAAAAAGAAGGTTAACACTGCAGGCAACAAAATTCTCTTCTTCCAGCGCATCAAACAAATATTATCCGGAAATTAAATGTTTGAGAAATAATGTTTTTAGAAAACGGTAAAAAAAATCGTTCAAAAATAAGAAAATTATTTTTAAATAAATTTGTAAGGGTCCTATCACTTACATAGCTTTCCTATTCATAGTCTCCCAGTCATTTATTTACTTTGTTAGCATATTTGCCTACTGTATATGTACAGATTGTAAATTATATTTAAAAATAAATAAAAATAAATTTAATATTAAGACCATTTTTTATACACTAAATGTTACGTTCGAATAATATAGTTTTATTTAAACGCCTAAAAACTCAAGAAAAAAACCACTTAGTAATTATTCAACTTTTAATTTATATTCCCAGTAATTTGTAAAACTACACATAAAAATGATAAATAAAGAAAAGGTTTTTCACCCCATCTAGGGTAAACAATAAATTATTTTTCGATTTGAGTGTTTATCTATAGTACCTGTTAAACTCTAAGGAGAATATGCCATACAAATATACACTAATAACAGCAGAACGTCTTTAAAATTCTAATAAAAACCTAACCAGTTATCGATTTAATTAAATGTAATAACTATAAAAAAAAAATGTTCTTAGGTTTTAAAAGTATTTGATTGAATTCTTTACTTTAAATGCTTAATTTTTATGCTAATATAAAATGTTTTTAACAAATATGTATTTTTTTTTGGTTAATATATGTTAATTTATGATATACAAATAAAAGATAATTAACTATTTAGATTCTATTCAATTATGTTTATTATCTAATAAACAGGATGTAACAATTTAAATGTTAATTTCTGTTGTTTTTTTATGCACTGTAATGGAATTTTCAATGAAATTTTAAGGTTATTCGGTCGAATATTTCAATCAATTTTAGTCGCATTTTACTGATATAAAGTTCAATTCTTAGTAATTATGTTGCAATACGCATTTTCAAAATATTTTTCTGTGAAATTCTAATAAACGCCCTAACACACCTGTCCGTTAAACACATAGGTGTGTTTGTAAATATTATATACAACAAATATACTTGTGTAGGTATTTGTTTGTATTATATTGTGATTTTTTTTTCAAATGAATATAAAACAGGCAAAAATGGGCGTAAAAAATCATTCGTTTTGTCTCACAGTGTAACTTCAGACAAGAAAATATAGTTCAATACAATGTTGTTTAAGTACTCTATTTTGTCTCTATGTCTTATCATAGTTGCTAATTCTGTACTGGGAGAAACCGAAGATGAAAACCAAGTAATTATTGTTACTATTTTTAAAAATGGTATAATTTTCATCAGTGTATTGAAAAACAAAATTTACAACAAACCTTTAAAAACAAAATTTCAGTATATGAGAGATTCGTACGATTATTGTAGAAGATGGTTGGGCAAATCTCTAAATCATACTATTACAAAGTACGAATTTTTGTTGTATATGGGAAAAAACATTAGCGATTGGTATGCCTTAGATTTTTACTTCATTAACAATCCAGATGCCAATGCAAAAAAAGGTAAACACTAATTTCAATATTATTTATCATTTAATAATAATATTTTTATCTTCGATACGAAATCGTATCCACATCCTATGACAACAATTTGTAAGCATATAAAATATGTAATATGGATCAAAACGCCAAATACCAGCGAGCGTTTGATCCCCTTGGAATAACGGGAAAAAACGACTACAGTAATAATAAGTTTGAAACGATAATAATTATGTATAAAAATAAGATAATTTCCCGATTTTTTTATTTTTCTATGAAATTTCATACATTTTTTTCCTAAGCGTCTTAATAGATAATTTAGTTTGAAGTTTGCACGCTTCAACTCGCTGAAAAAAATATTAGAAAAATTCACATGCTGTGTAATTTTCAAAAAAATCCGCTGGGGTCACTCCAAACGTTCGTTTGTAATTGGTGTTCTGACACATACATAAATAAATTATTAATTTTTGTTATAGCTGTTATAGATTTAAGTCTATATGGTGAACTTTTTAAATACATATGCAACAAACATGGCCGTGCTGTAAGAAACTGTGCAGAATATAGAAAAAGTAAAGCGCAATCAACGTCGTATGTTGCGATGCAGTACTTAGATTGGGAGGATCGCGAGTAGCCGGTCAACAGTATTAGTTACAAGAGAAAAAAAACAAAAAAATGTTTCATAATCTAATAGTAACACGCTAAACAAAGTTAAAAAACGGTAAAAATTACCATAAGTCAAAATACATTTTATGGCACCATTTAAACATTTTTTATTTTGTTCATTTGTTAATAAATTATGATGAAGATTTGATCTGAAAAACATTGTGTTTGAAAAATAATAAATTCGTAGAAAAAAAACAGACAAATTTGCATAATCTAATAATAACATGTCAATACAAATTGTATGACAACATTTAAATCTCTATTTTACAAATAAATACCGATTATTTTTCCATTGTGTGCAATTGTAGTATTATCTATCAGAAGAAATTAACATGACTATAGTTTAATTGGTAATTCAAAAAGAGGCAAATGTGAGCAGTTGAGCCAATATAGCCACTAAAACAAAAAAATGATAACTTTGTGGTCAAGTAAAACAGTTAAAACAAGAGAGTACAAACATCAAGTGCAATAAGTGGAAAAAGCTGAAAAGAAATAAAATAAAATGGGTTGGAAACTTGTTTCTAAAAAAAAACAGCTGGGAATTCTAGTGACACTATTTTACTATACCTTATATTAATACTTTAACAGGTTCAGCATCACAAAGGACACCGATGTTCGCTCTACATTTTTCTGACTTCTGGCAGCCAAATTTTTTCTAAAAGTCTTAGATAATTTGTATTAGTAGTATAAAATGATGAGTACAGGATTAAAAAAATATTATCTTGGTCCAGGGAGAAGTTTCAGTGAAATATACTTGGCGCTTACCTAACCTGTATTTTTGATAATACCTATTCAAGTTTTATCTTTTACATTTTTTTCCACAGTTCTATCAACTCTAAAAACAATATTGTACTACACTAACGTTTTATATCACCCAATAATATGTGAAAAAGTTTGACTGGCCTATTAAAAATAATACTTTACTACACTCTAGCTTCTGTCCTAAATAATTCTGAACTGTAAGAACTTCAAAAATAATTATCTAAAACCGGTTTTCGCCCAGAGTTTATAGTACCTTCAACTTCTTATTTACTGTACGCGGATTATTGTACAAATATAGATAGTAAGTGAACTTAATCAGTCATACTTTTTTTTCAATCAAAACTCGTTTACAATGCGCGACATGGATTCTTCTAACATGTTTTTAATGTAATATATATATAAATATATTATAGACCCAAGTTGTTTTGTTGAAATTAAATTACTACCTCGACATCACTACTTGAGAATGATTTACGATTTTTTCGTTCATCACCAAAGTGCTATTTATCATATCTGTAAAAATGAAAAAATATATTTAACATATTAAATTTCATGCAGTATAATATTCAATGTAGTACGGTTAAAGGGTTGTGTCTGTTTTCGAATAGTGTTAATATTAAAAAAAAAAAGTCTTTATGTTTTTTCGTTTAAGTATTTTTATTATATAATTTTTCAATTTTTTTAATTAAATTTATTAAAAAAACATGTTTCATCTGTAAATAACTATTTACTAATGGCCTAAGATGCCGATGTAATTTTAAGATCAATAAAAAAAAAAAATATATATATATTTAAATTTTGCCATTTCCGAAAATTATTCTAGACGTCTTACCGATACATTTTTTTCATTTTTTTTTTCCAACGACATACTACAAAAGTGTATACAAAGGTATCTCGACTCGGGAAAAATGTAAAACGCAATTCGTTTAATATTTACACCTTGACAATAGCAGCAATACAACTGCATTTTCAATTTTTTTGTAAAAGCAACCATGTTAACTGTATGTCTTTTTCTTTATGGTAGTTCATATTCTGGCATTTTCAAGAATTTATCCTTTTTTCCTACAACAATATAAGCTACCGTACAGTCACTACATTCTATAACAATAAAATACCTAAGTATAATAGAATACAAAATGATTTTAATTCATCCCTTCCATTGCCTTCATTCTATACCTTCTATTGTTGTGTGTGTGAAGTAAATAATTTAACGCGCATATACTTGCACTATTTTTTTTTTTTGACATAAACAAAAATAATATTTTTATTTAGTTGTGCTACATATATTCATCTGTAAGTTTAACTTAGGTATATTCATATTTTTCAACGCATATAATTTGTTTAGTGTAACATGATAATGAAAAACATTGTCTTAATATAAATCAAATTAGATTACAACGTTTTTTATAGTGTATTAATTTAACAAAAAAAACTCGAAACCAGTGAATAGTAAATTTAATGATGAAAATTCTCGGAATATTTGAACGGATTCCATACTAAGAATATTAAAGAAAATTTACTCGAGGGATTCTGAAACGAGGTGCTTGTGAAATAAAATAAAAATGGCCAAGAAGAAAAGCCAGAGTAAGTGAATCAATGAGGATATGAGAACGTTTTCGTTGATTTTCCTAATCGAATGCATACAAGTAAGTAATTAAATTTAAAATATATTATATATTATATAAGTAAAGATGAAATAAATATTTTGTTACTGTCTTTTATCATAACTGCTAATTGTTTAGTAGGAAATTCGGAAGTTAAAAATTAAACTTTCAGTTTGGTCGAAGCTGAAGGTAATGATGAAGTGATTTTTCTTATTACTCTTAGATTATTACTTTGTAGCAATTTACATAGTATATTATTAAACATAGTATTTTGTGAATGATTTCCAAGATAATATTATATTCACAATATAGGTATCAAACTCTTACTATACAGTAACTATTCTTTCTATGAATTTATTATTATTTTAGAGTTTCAAATAAAATATTCGTCATAATTATTAATAATCATACCAAGTTTTTAATATTGTTTGTTAAAAATATTTTTTAGCGTTTTATTAAATTGGCAAATGTCGAAATTCCAACCGTAGCCTAAGTATTTGATTTGAATTAGTTGAAAATAGTTTTAAAATAATATAATAGTACATTTATATTCCACTTGAGTAAAGTTTCGTCCGTCGAAAGAACAAGATGTATCACCCATCCATAAATCTTTGATTTCCTCATTTAAAAACTATTTCGATTTGCGAATAAAAGTTCTAAAAAATGTTTTTCAAGTCTGATTGTAAAACCGTAAACTATCAGCGAACAGATTCACTAGCCAAAAATCAATAGACATTCGAAATCTACATTAAACATGAAAAATAAACTATAAAATAAATATGTCTATTGCTTTTTAAATCGATAGCAATGTTAGTTTACCTCGACAAAGCTTTTGTTAAGCTTTCATCACACGAAGTTAGTTTGAATCGTTAATCATTATCGAATGATGCCGAGGACGATCTGATAAAGGTAATATAATTAAGATGATAAATTATTTGGAAAATGAGATTTATTTATTTTTTCATAATAACAATACCCATAATGCAATTCGACACAATTCGGATTTTGATTAACCGAATCGAATGCTATTCTTCAGGGCTATCCCGTTTAAAAGATAAATATTTACTCGGAGACGGATCTAGCTCTTTTTCCGTTTCCACTTAAGACGGCGCACAAGATAAATTCGCTTGCCAGGTGTGTTGTCACTTGTCAGTACCAACAAGGAATTATTTCGCACCGCCTTTGCTGGTCTTATTTATTATTATAATAGGCCAAACAGCTTTATCTGTCACCGGACAGAACCTCGAACTGCACAGGATGATCCATTCACCGTGTAAGACACTCAGTAACTCTTGAAATATAGTAGTTGCAATTTTGTGGTTATTCTTTGTAACACTACTTGTGTGTACCATAACTTTTTATGCCTACACAATTAAATTCTATAATGGTATTGTCAATAAAAAAAATGCACCACAATATTTAAACGAGTTTCGAGTATTCCCCAATTTCAATTTATGTAATGTCATTATTGATTCCCGACTTAACCGGTATAATATTTTCAATTATGACTTATTGAATATACAATTTTAATTAGCTACATGTTTATGGATTTTTAATGTTACACTTTTGGACTTACCTCGGCGATACATTTCGGTAATTATTATTATAGTCTGAAGGATACAAATAAATGATAGAAACGTAGCATTAACTATGTCATGTATAACGTCTTCAGTATGCATTTAGTCATGTCAAAAAAAATTCAACATTATGACCATTAACGTTTCCAACAACCTTTCAAACCAAAACATGTGTGTATTTTTAAAAAAAACTTGCAAAAAAAATCAAAATTTACTGTACATTTCGACTGGACGATAACCGGGTTTGAATAACTAATTAAAATAAAACTGAACAAATTACGGTTTTATATGATTTATTTTATTTTGTTAATTAGCAATGACAATTTGTATGAATTGAGTTATGTTCCGAAATTTTCCAAGCCCATATTTACTATATAATATAATATAATGGTATAATAGTACTCAATACAGTGAGATCAATTTAAAATGTAAGATACTTATTTTATGCTAAAACAATTGCAATTTTAAAGGTTTATCATTTTAAAGACACTTAATTTGATGTTATTTTACAATATTCAAATTTGTATCTTTTTTTTGTTTTTTTCTAGAGCTTTATCAACTTTGATTGTTTTGAGCGTTGATGAAATAATTTAATGCCGGTGGAAATCATTTTCTGAATATATTATGAACAAATGAAGTTTTTCTACGATGTTATCGTTCATCTCATAATATATTACGGAATCTAACAGGGAAATTAATATAATTCTTTATCTAACCTAACATGTCCATCCCCTATTTACATTATAATACACTACCCTTGTAGTTAGTTACAAAACACTAAATTTGTATAATATTCATAATCAACATTACTCACGGTCGATTTGTCGAACAAAAAATATATCATTAATTAACGTCTAATTTATTATTATAATTAAAATGTCTATTAAATATTGTAATCATTTAAAAACAAGGAAAACTATTTATTTTATAACACGTCGGTGGGTAAATCTTTTCTTTTTTTTCAACTGGTTTAACTCGTACTATTAAATAATAGTATTTAAGTATTATATTTTTTTGAAACTACAACATTATAAAATAAAAATGTTATAAATACATAACATCTTTAGACATGACTTCAGCAGTAGAAGATCATAAAGTCTAACATCCGCTACTTGTTTGTAATATCACATTTTTTTTATCTGATATTTTTGTACTATATAATAAGACACGGATACTATTAAAAATTTATAAATATACTTATAAAATACAAAGTGCAAACGTTTTAAACATATTTATCTGGTATTAATAATTTATTATCATTTTTACAATATTCTTAGAAATTAATAAATGTTATTTTTGCTATTGCGGTATGATATAATTTTGACCAAACACAAGGCACAGATAGGAGC